TGAATCCTAATAACTTAAACTGAATGTGCATGCGTTTATTCAAATTGCAAAAAAAAAATGAATGAATATTCCATCATCTAATGATGATCGTTAAGTAATGAAAATTAGTTAAAAGCGAAAAAAAACGCAAAGAATTTATTCATAAATTTATGTTGATGATGATGATGATGATGATGATGATATATGTTTTTTTTCTTAATTATTTAAAAAGAAATAAGATTTGTTTTTCTCTTCATACTTTGCCATTTGAATGAAATTCAAGTAGAAGATGCACATGAATTTTTTGGACTACATTTTATTCAAAAAAAAAAAAAAAATGAAAATTTAAAAAATTAATAATAATAATGATGATGATGATAATGAAAAATGAATATTTTTCATTCACATTTCTGTTTGCATTGAAAAATTATTATTATTATTATAAGAGAAGAAAAAAATGTTCAAATTCTTAACTAAAGAATGTCATGACATACATACACACAAAAAAAAAAAAAAAAGAAAATTCTGTCATAAAATGACTTTAATGGTGTTTAGTTTCTTTTCTATTACGTTTAAAATGATGACAATGATGGATAAGGTATATATACAAGCTCTAGCACACGCAAACAATGATAACGACGTTGGCTTTGTGTGTTTGTGTTTCTACACTCAAACCAACCCCTCCCCCCGGTTTAGAATCAGGAATAGGTTTTTTTTCTTGCATTTTTTTGTGGTTTTTTTTTCTTGATAAACCAAACAAAAAAAAATGTTTGAACTTTACTTTTTTGTATTTGTTTTTTTTTCACTTCCATTTTGTTTGAAAGAGCATCGCGTGCTTAGTCACTGCCATGAAAAAAGTTACTATCAATTTATACGGCAATATCTGGGTTTACACCATTGGACATCATATTTTCACTAATGAATTGTGTTATTCTTGTGAAAAAAAAACGAAAAACGAGCTATCACTGTTTACTATATATGAAACGATAAATGATTGGAAAAGCAGAAAAAAAAATTATTCTTGTTCCAAAGAATTTCATAATATAAAAATTATTATTCATGGTCAAAATGAGAAAAATATTCCATACACACACACACACACACACTCAAAACAATACGAGACGACCTTGTGATGATAATAATAATAATAATAACTTGAAATGAATTTTTTTTCGTGTTTTGTGCTTCAAATTCTATGAAATTCTATGCAAATTGAATGTCATTTATTTATTTATTCATTCATTCATTCATTCATCGATATTTGGCATTCAAAAACAACAACAATAGAAAATGGATAACTGCAGAAAATCATTGAACATTATTTTAAGTGAATGAAAAGCAATAGGAAAAAAATGTCAATCCAATCAATGACAGGTACTTGTGTATAATATTTGAAACACATTTGTATATGACAAATGAAATTATTTTTTTTTCTGTTCTATGAACATAAATGAATTGAATGTAAAAAATTATTGTTGATTCATTCATTTTGAATGGGATTGATAAAGTTCAAAGTTCATCAAAACATTGTGTGTTTGTGCAAATTCTTAATGAAGTAAGCAGCGCCGTTTGAATTTCAAATAGATAAAATGATGTTTATTGTATAATTTTCTCATTATCCGTTGAAGAATGAAACAAATTCAAACAAACGGAACAAAAAAAGCCGTATTTTAATTTAAGAATTTTAAATTTAGAAAAAAAATTTGGTATTTTAATTCAGAAAAAAAACAATTCAAATCTAGATTTACTATGATATAATGTCTACTGTCTTCATTTATTTATTCATAAGTGGATGTTGTTTATCATCAATGATCATGAATCAAATTCGTATTGTAATGTGTTCATGAAAAAGTAGAAATCTTTTATGCGATCAAATCATTATAATCAAAAACACTTTTATACTTGAAGAAAGATTTTCATTAACCAATTAATAACATAGTGAAACGAATCCCATCAGCTCAGAATGAGTTGATCTTTTTCAATAAATAAAGCGTAAACAATAAAGAATTTCTGCTTAAAGAAAAAAAAGAATAGACTCACTTAAACCTTTTTTCCATCCATTTTTGTTTTCAAATTCCTAACAGAATAATACAGACCAGAATTCAAATTTTAACTAGACTTTACTTTCAATGTGGAAACACACACACACACAAAACACAATGAATGATTGAATGTCAAAGTCAAACTAAATCTAAATTATTCACAACATTTTTTTTTCATTGATGGAACAAGTGAAAAAAAAATCTTTGCAAAACAGACAGAGAATTAATTGGATTATCGAATTATTTCTGAAAAAAAAGAAATATGAAAATCATACAGAGTTATATCGAAACCGACAGCAAAGTATTACTGTACAGTAAAGAATTTATTGATAAAGAAAGAAAATTTGTCAAAATATGCCGGTCTATTTTGTTTTTGTTTTTGTTTTTGTTTTTGTTTTTGTCTGTCTGTTTATTTCTGTTTTTTTTTGTTCATTTCAATTGGGACGACAATCACAACCATAATATACTGGATGAATAAATTAATAATGATGATGATCAAAAGTTGTTTTTCTTTTTTTCCAATATCACAAAATACCAAGCTAAAAAAATGGATAAAAAAATATTGACACAGAGTGTATTTATACGACCAATATCAATTTGTTGCTGTTATTTAATGTTTTTATCAATTTATCAATGTTGTAAAGCGATTCTCAAAGGATTTTTGAAAAATTCTAAACACATACACACACACACACCGAAATCTAAACAAGAAAAATCACTCCAATTTTCTTGGATGTGTGCGTATATTTTAAAGATTTGAACCAGAAATAAATAAATAAATCTTCTTAGCCTTTGATTTTTTTTTGTTGTTATTGTCGCTGAGTTCTGTTTTACTTATATATGGTTATTATTATTGTTTTTTTTCTCTTTTTTTACAGATTTTTTTTGTTCCATAAATGGAAAGTAAACGTACCATGAACATCACAAACACACATGACATCCGTCCTGTTCATATACAACGCAATTTTCATGAAAATTCATGTTTCCACGATTATTGTGAATAGAAAATCATGAAACAAATGAATTGGAAAACAATAAATTTTGTTTAATTATCGATTTTATTGAATCAATCAATTTATTGCAAACAACACCTGAAAAATAATCATGGAAGGTCATAATATATTTCAGAATATAACATTATCATTTTGGACAAAACCAAAATCATTATCATTGATTAATAGTAATAATGATCATGATGATAATGGTACAAATGAATCATCTATAGCCACCATTCATAGTGATCATTGGTCATCAATGACCAATGATAATAATAATAATGATAATATTACGAATGATAAAAATATTCATAACACTGTTGTTGATCATGGTGGTGGCAACATAATGAATACGATAAGTATAAATCTATGGCAGCCATTCAATAATAATAATATCGAAAAAGTTGTAACGACAACAACAACAACAACAACAACGCCAATGACAACAAAGAACAATTTTCCAATTAGTTTTATTACAAAAAATTATCGAACAAACAATGATAATGGAACTGTCCAAACAACGATGATGTCGGATAAAATATTGATCGAAATGAATAAATCTAAACAACAACAGAATATTGCTCAAAATGATAATCTATTCCGAATGATTGTAGATAATGATGATAATGAAACGATAATATCAACGACGACGACGGAAATACCGGAAACGTTATCATCATCATATTCGAAAAATTTATTAAAAGAATTATATCAATCATCAATGATTAATGGTCAACAAAACAGTAGTATACATTATTCATCATCAAAATCAATTGTATCACATAATCACAATGATCGTCTTATTATCCATGATAATAATGATGATAATGGATTTCAACGAACATGGAAATCAAATTTCCACAATTCAACAACAACAACCACAACAGAAGAAACATTGACGTTGATGACGACAACGGAATCAATATTAAATAAAAATAATAATGATAATGATAATGATAATTTTATTGATTATGAATGGTCAACGTTGCGACCATCTACGACAATATCACTGAAAAATGATTCAAATAATAATGATAATAATGATTGGCCAAATTTTGGATTTAATCACAGTAGTGATAATGATTTATGGAAAAATTATTGTACAAATTTAGCGACAAATACCGATACAAATATCGAAACATCAGCAGCAGCATGTTTATTAAGAATGTCTACGTTTGATAATGTTAATAATAATGCTACAACAATGGCAACAACATCCGGTATGAATTTAACGGCAACAACAATGATGATAATCAATGATCATCATCAAATTGATCTTGAACATGAACGTGTTTATTGGGCATTAATATTGATTATATTACCAATATTGGCATTGTTTGGAAATTTTCTCGTCATTTTAAGGTATTTTTCTGGTGTTTGTTTTGCGTTTTTTTTTCTAAATTTCAACAATTTTCAATACATAAAAAAAACAGTGTTTATCGTGAACGAAGCCTACAGACTGTTACGAATTGGTTTATTGTAAGTCTTGCATTTGCCGATCTATTTGTTGCTATACCGATGCTATTTTCAACGTATGTTATGGTAAGTTTTCTATTATAGTTTTTTTTTATCCATTGTGACATCTTGATGAAAATCTATTAGATAAATGTTATATTCGACTTGAATTTCATTTTTTTTATACACAAATTCCTGTTCATTATTATTTCAAGTGAATGTGAATACATTTCACACAAAGCCAATACAATTATTTTAACGAGAACGATAATAATAACTAACCAACCACAAATAACTATGGATTATATGTTGTATATAATGTAATGTCAAGTAACCATAAACGAAAAAAAATGAACAGAAATCTTCAATAAGGATTGATGATCAAAGTTATATGAAAAAAAACTGAAAAAATTTGATCGTTTTTTTTTAAATAAAAAAGACAAAGACCAACCAAGTCGTTATTTTTTCAGCGTATATCACACGCTCAATAGTTGAACTAGACTTTACAGAACTAGAATTATGGACATTGTGCTCTTTTACACACACAAAAAAATCAATCGGTAATTGTTCAATAAATTCACACAGAAGCAAAATTGATGTGTTTATAAAATATTTAGTCTTTCACACAAAGACATTTGTTGTCAAAAAAAAGAGCAAGATTATTATTTTTTTTCTGTTTGTTTTCGAGAATCTTCTGAATTCTTTTTTTTCATAAAAATTCAATTTCAGATCAAATGTCATTATGGGGTATATTTCGACATTTAAAACAAAACAAAACAAAAACAAAACAAAAAAAATTTCTCACTGTTTGTATATTGAAAACAAAAGTAAGTGAAAATGCGAAAAACAAATTCAGAAAATAAAATAAAATAAAATAAAACAGAATGAATATAGATAGAGAGAAAGAGAAAAGATCAACAACAAGAAAATGTTTCAGGAAAAAAAAAACTTTGATGATGATACCCAAGAGATTTAAGCCAGGATTTTGTTTGTTTAGTTTTTGAAAAATTTCTGAACCATGAAACAAAACAAAGAAAAATCCTTTTTATTCTGTACTTTTGTTTTAGCTCTCTTTTTCATTGTGTGTGTGTGTGTGTTTTTTTTTGATGATGAAAATTTTATATGATTAAATAATTGAATTAACGTGAGAAAATAGATGAATATTCGTTTTTTTTGCACAGAATAATAAACAATAATAATAATTATGACAATGATGAAAGAAACTTGGTTTTGTTGAAAAAATCTATTTTTTTTTTTTAGGTTAGGTTAGTAAATATAGTAAATTCTCTTTTCATTTGAAAATTCCTTTTGTTTTTTCAGTCCGCTCATGGAATTATTTACCTAGGATACCTTAAATTAGGATTTTCATTTCAATTTGCATCTTTTCTGGCTGATGTTTAATGTTTTTTTTCTTGGCACCAAGTAATCTTATCTTTTTTTTATTATTTGAATATTCATGTGGAATTACATTAGCTTTTATTTTGGAGATTTCATGTCAATTGAATTTTTTCTTTTTAATTTCATTTAGAATGAATGGATTTTTTTCTGGTTCTTTTCATTCCTATCACTTGTGTAATGTGAAACCTTGATAAAATAGATTATTTGATGATGATGATGAAACCAAACAAAGAAAAATATGAAATAAAACAATGAAATTTTGATTAATAATTCAACTGAATAAAATGGACATTATGACGGCTAAAATTAGATGAATAGATTCGTACCGAACCAAACAAATCGACGGAAATTATTTTTGTCAATGTTCATCGCGAAAAGCATACAAAGAAAGGAAGAGAGAATGCCAAAAAAATAAATGAATTCGAATCACCATCCCGTAACGTCCAGGAAATTATCATCAAATTCATTCATTCATTATCCGGTTATTTCTGTTTGTAATAATAATGATAATAATTTTATTGATCATTATCATTTTGGGAATACTACACACATATATATAGATGGACAATGCGATCATCAATAAAAAAAAATGAGAAACTGAAAAAAAAGTAGAAATTTTCTCATCACAAAATACACACATACACACACCCACACACACACATAATGGCTATGGGCATCTACTGTGGAACAAATAACAAGAAAAAAAATATTTATATGTAGAGATGAACAAGTGAAAAATATATAAATCAATCATCATCATTATTTAACCATTAATTGAATGTTGATGTTAATGATGATGATGATGATAATGATGATGGTCATCCTTAACGATAATGAATGAATTGTGTGTGTGTGTGTGTGTGAGCATTCAAAGAATGGGACCGAAAAAAAATGACAATGAAAAATGATGATAGTAATAAAGTTTTCTGTTCTATTTCTTTGTAAGAAAAATGAAATGAATTGAATGTATAATAAATAAATAAAAAAACAAAATGAAGAATATCAAATATGGATAAGAAATATATAATTGAATATAATCAAGAATAATAATAATTTGTTTGTGTGTGAACAAAAGAAAATATTATGATGTTGATGATGATAAATAATGACCATTGATAATGATGATGATGATGATGATGATGATTGAATTTAGATGTATAAATGGTGGTGACATTTATTCGAATGGACTGGACAAATGATGAATGGGAATTGTTCATGAATTCTTATATATAAATTTGAACAGGAAAAAGAAATTAGTGATAGACAAAAAAAAATGGAAAATTCTTATGTGCCTTATTATGGCCGTAGGTGTATGGTTATGAAATAAAAAACAAAATTTATTTATATTTTTATTTCTTAAGCTTTGAATTCATTTTCATTTCATTTTTTTTGTAGTGAAAATAATTTCGGTTTTTCTAAGATAAAAAAAAAGAAACCGAATTGCAAAAACCATTGATTACATGTATAGCCGCAAGGTGTCTTATGATGATGATGACCAGTGCTGATGATGGTGAAATTTACAGAAATATAATAGACATAATAATACTAGATGATTGTTGTGTCGACTCAAATAGAAAAACATAACAAAACCATGTTTCCTGAAAATGATGATTTACCCATCATCATCATCATCATCATCATCAATCTCATCAATTTTGATACCAATTGGACCATTCTTTTTTTCCAATAAAATCAATTTCATGTTTTGAGGAAAAAAAAAATTTTCCCATAATTTCACTGTTCATCAAGTTTGTGTGTGTGTGTGCAAAATGTTGATAAAAAAAATAAATAAAATACTTTAATAAAAAAATTTACAATTATCGATTTATAATAAATTTTTATCGATTACATTTCATTTTCAAAACAAATTCTAGGTGAATGTCGATTGGCAATTAAGCGAAACAATATGCGATCTTTATATTGCCACGGATGTTATCTGTAGTACAGCATCCATATTCAATTTGGTTGCCATCAGTTTTGATCGGTATGTATTTTTTTTTTTTTTCTATTTCCATTTTCCAAATTCACCGAAATAAATGCTACAACCATTACATTGAAATGAAAAAAAATATATAAAAAAATTTAAATTGCACAATTTTTTTTTCATCGAGAAAATCGACATTGAACGTATGTACATTTTGGTTGTCAACAACAACAACAACAACAACAATAAAATAATGATAATGATAACGACAAAATGTATTGATGAGAAATTGGGCAATAAAAAAAAATTGAATTTGAAAAAAATGTTAACCGACTAGTGAGAGAAAAAACGACCAAATTCAAGACTAATTTTCAACGAAAAAAAAAATTTAACGGCTATTTTTTCTTTGATTAAAATTCATTTCCATATATATATATACCGCGAATAACTATACAAATAGTAAAATATCCGATAGTCAATATAATAAATTCTGTAGGATACAATATTGGATTGCACACACATACACATGTAGAAATTGTTTTTTTTTAATTTCCTTTAAAGCTTTTTTTTTATCTCGAGTCTCACACACTAGCCACATTATATGATCATCATTGAAAACAGTGGTACTTTTTTTTCTGAATTTTTGTTCATGAAAAAAAAGTTTGGCTTCCGCTTTGATTTCTTCTTGTTATTATTTGAACATGGAAAAAAGTTTTTTTTTTATTCACTATTTACATACAACTTGATCGATAACATTTTTTTTATATATGTGAATGGTTGTTGTTACTGTTCTGGTTTTTTTTCAGAATGAAAATGACAACCAAAAAAAAAAAAAAAAATAAAAAAAATAATAACCTTATTTGTTGTTGTTGTTGTTGTTGTTGTAAGATTTTGAAAATTACACCATCATTTTGGCCAATGGCCATTTAGCCGAAATTCCGGTATTACATTAATCGTGTGTATGTATGTATGTATGTGTGTATAAATCAATTGAATGACAAACAAACAAATCTAGGAAAAAAAAAGTTTTCATTGGTTTTCAAGTGTAAATCGGAAAAAAACAAAATTATTCTGCAGTATCGAATAAATAAAAAAAATTCTTTTCGATTCTATTATTGCCAATTATTTTTACAATATATACAAAATTGAAGTTTTCACAATAAACACACATGAAACTTGTGCAAATGATCAATTCTATTTGTATCTTCATTCTATTTGTTTTTAAATTATTTTATCAAATTTAAATTTTTTAATTTCATGATTGCTTTTTCTATCTGTCTGTTTTGTTTTGTTTTATCATTTTCATAGATATATTGCCGTTACACATCCAATATTTTATTCAAAACATAAAAACGATAAACGTGTTATAATTACAATCATTTTAGTATGGATGGCATCATTCGGTGTTGGATTACCAATCATGCTTGGTGCAAATACATCACCAGAACGTATACCTGAATTATGTATATTTTATAATTCAAATTTTATTATATATTCATCATTATGGTCATTCTATGTACCTTGTGTTATGATGGTTATATTATATTATAAAATTTTCAAAGCAATACATGATCGTGCCAAGAAAAAAATGGATCATATTGGTAGTAGTTCCGGTGATGGTGTTGGTGGTCATCAGAAAAAATCAATCACAACCGGAAATAATCAAAATAATAAACTTTATACAGCTGTAACAATGAATAATAATACAAAAAATAATAATAATAATATGATGTTGATGATGAATCAAACGAATAAGGCAAAAAATATACTTGGTATTGAATCAACAAAAACATTGGAATCAATTTCATTGAGTAAACAATTACAGATTTGTCCAACAACAACAGTAACAACAAAATTAGATAAACGACATCAACAACAACAACAACAATCACCGCAGCTACAGATTCATATACCAAATCAAGATCTGAATATTAAAAATCATATTTCAACAACAGCAACTACAACAACAACATTACCAACTGTATCGATTATATTAACGAATACAACAAATTTAACAAATTCAAATAATGATAATTGTATTGAAACAAGTAATAGTGATAATATTGAAAGTCGATTAGATGACGATGATGATGAAGACGATGAAGATGATGATGATGATGAGGATGATGACGATGATGACGATGACGATGACGATGACGATGACGATGATAATTGTAAAAAAAATTCAACGATAAAAACATTGAATGATAAAGGTGATAATTTCATTTGATTTGTTTGATTATTATTGAATTTTAATTGATCTTTTTTTTATCTCTCTCACTTGTATGTTTCAAATGGATGTATGGCTTCAGATAAATCAGAGAATCCAATAAAATGTGATATGTTTTTAGTAGAAAATGCTGTAGCAGCAGCATTAAATACAACAACAACAACAACAAAACATTGTGATAGTGATAGCAGTTCAACAACATTTGATTCTATATCCGGTAAAGAAAAAAAAGATTATGATGATGATGGTAATCAAAAGGAAAAAGATGATGAAAATGAAAATGAAAATAATAATAATAAATTGAAAAAACAACAACAAAATCGACAAAAACGAATCCAAAAAAATTCACGAATGGCACATACATCGGATCATCATACAACAACGACAACAGCAATAGCGACAACAACATCAACAACGGCAACGACAACAACAAATATAGATAATAATATTCGACGTAAAAAAATGACAAAAATTCGAATAAATATTGATAATAATGATGATGAAGATGATGATGATGATCATGGAAAATTAGTTGATCCATCAACCAATGGACCAAATTGTGGTGGTAGTAGTGAGGGTGTTATAGGAACAAATATAAATGATGGTGGTACAACAACCGGTGATGGTAGTGGCGGTAGTGGTAATACCGGTGGTATTAATGATATCACAATTCATAATAATAATAACAACAATAGCAGCAATATTATCGATGATGATGGTTATCCAAAGAAAAAATCTCGTTTTAATCTGGGTAGAAAACATAAATCAAGTCGTAAAAAAAGGGAAAAAGTATCGGCACGCCGTGAACGTAAAGCAACAAAAACATTGGCCATTGTTTTAGGTAAGTGAATGGAGAATTTTGCCATGATAGAAAAAAACTTTTGCGAAAAAAAAAATTTGAAAATTCTCAATTTATTCCAATTTTTTTCGCCTATAATAATAATAATAATAATAATATTTGATTGCTGCTTGCTGCTGTTTGTTGTTGTTGTTGTTGTTGCAGAATATTCTGAATTCTGTATTTTTTCTGAAATGCTGACACATAATAATTTCATTCCTTTGTTTGTAAAATATTACTTTGTTGTCGATCAAGTTTTTTTTAGAAATAGAAAGTTTCTTTTGGACAACAACAACAACAACAACAACATCGACAAGAAAACTGGCATTTGAATGGACAAAACTTTGCTTTTTTTCTTTCTCTTTTTTTTGCTGTCATTTTGTTTCAATCTTATGCTAGGTATGCAAACAGACGTAGATTATTCTAAAATTATTGTTTTTTTTTTTTTGGTAATCAGATTTGATGCAATAAATAAAGGTGTGGAATGTCAGACAGGTGCTGTGTGTGTGTTTGCTAAGAAAAAATGACAAGCAACTTCTTCTCACTATTATTAAAATGATCATTTTTGTTTCAAATCCAATCACATCGTATGAAAGAAAAAAAAACATCAAATCAATGCTAAGAGAAAAAAAATCATACATTTTCGTGACCAATCCAGATTTTTGATCAATGAATCGTGTCCAATATTCAAACAGCGAATAAAGAATGAAAAAAAATTCCCAATAAATTCAAAGCTCTTCAACGAAAAAGATTTTGATTTTTTTTGATCAATTTGAATCTCATTCATGATTTCGCATTCATTTTTTAAAATTATTTTTTTTCTCTCAAGTAATTCGAACATTTATTTCATCGATCAACATTGAAATTTTTTGAATTCTTGTTTGCCAACAAGAAAAAAAATCGTGATAATAACAAGAATTCATTCTGGTATTTGATTTAGACACATTATGCCATGCCATACGAGTAACAAAAGAAAAAAAAATACAACATTTGGAATAAATTAGATTGAAAATAATGCATAATGTTGTGAATAAATAAAAAACAAACAGACACACGCAAAGCAAAGCATCAACAACAGCAGCGGCAGCAGCAGCAATCTCATTGATTAACAAATATTATTACATAACATTTTCAATTTATGTTCATTACAATTAACATAAAATTTATTATTTTCTCTTGTTTTGTTTTGTTTTTTTTTCATTACCATGATGAATTCCAGGTGTTTTTCTACTTTGTTGGACACCATTCTTTAGGTATGTAACAAAAAAAAAATCAACTGATTGATATTGATTTATATATAATTTAATGATTGATCATCTATATTTAGATTTTCATGGATGGTGATTTGATTTGATATTTATTGTTTTTATTCTTTATTTTATTATTTTTGTTGTTTTCTGGAATTTTGATGCATGTTTGATTACAATTCTGTGTTCGTGTGTTTATATAGGTGCGTGTGTTTGTGTGTAAACAAACGAATTCAAGCTTATCGGCTTGTTCAAAAAAAAACTCAGAGAAAAAAATTAAAATTCTGCAAAACAATTGGCAAATGCTGTGCCATTAGAGAAAAATGAAAACAAAAACATCAAACACAACTAAACTAAACAAAAATTTAATTTAATTTTAAAAAATGAAATATTTGTCTAGCAAAGCATTTTTTGAGAATATTTTCATCTTTATTGTGTGTGTGTGTTTGTGTGAGGTTATCTAACCAATAATTTGTAGATTTGAAATTTTTTTCTTCTAATTTTCATGCTTCTTGACATGAAAGGTCCTGTGTGTGTATATGTGTTTTCCAGGTAACTCTAATCTCACGATATTTAAATGGTCTATTGTGTGGTTAGCCGCTTGGTGTGTATACAAAAATACACCTACTTATTTGATTATACATTAATGATGATGATGGGTTAACCGTTAACCCATTATTGCTCACCATTATCAGCGTATTAACGTTGTGAAATGAAGATTTTTTTCATTTTATTTATTAGCCAGATTTTTTTTGGCCATCAATTTTCTTTCTCTACAAATTTAACATAAAAACAAAAATAAATGGATGCCTTTTTCTATTTAAAAAACAAAAACAAAAAAATTTAATTTTCATATTAAATTTGGTCATATTTCGAAAAAATTATTTTTTTTTCTTCATAAAATAAAACAAAACAAAACCAAAAAAAAATTCAATTCATTTTCAGCAATAAATTGTGGCTTTTCTCATAAACACCATTTGAATTATGGAATTCGTTTACTTTTGTTGATGCTGCTGATGATGATGATGATGATGATGAACATCAACCCGAAATGAAAATGCCAGATTTTGTTTGCATTTTTTTCTATTTTTTTTCTTGAGTTAAAAAAAACAGAGAGAAACCGAAAAATAATGATTTTCTTCTGCCATATATAAATTATTTAAATCTTTATTTCATTAGTTGATTATGGAAACTTTATTTATATGGAAAAAAAAATATTTTGGCTGCAATTTCTATATAATAATAATAATTAAGATCATGAAAATCATAAGATAACATTCGTTTGATTGTGTAATTTTCATATTAGGTTCATCATAATGTTAGCCATTCAATGATTTTTTTTTCTTGCATAATCAAAATAAATATTAATAATAATAATAATAATAACCACAGGAAATAAAACTGAAGTTTTTTCTGAACCATCAGATCAAATTATTCACTATGCATGTATCTTTTTCGTCTATTTTAAAGAAACATGAAAAATATTTTTTCGTCCTGTTCAATTTCTAGTTTATCCGTGGTTGTTTGTTTGTTTGTTTGTTTTTAAGATTATCATCATCATCGTTTTTTTTTCAACGACAACGAATATAACGATTTTGAGAATATTTTTTTTTTTGCTTGTTTATCAAATTCATCATCATCATATACTACTATTCCCTGAAACTACACACACACACAAACTAACATGATCACAATGATTATGTTGATAATAATATTATTATTGTTATTATCATTGCTTTTTTTCTACTTCTTCTTCTTCACTTTCATCATTTTCTTATTGTCATTTACTGTTACTATACTGCTATGATGATGATGATGATGATGATGAAACTAGATTCGGAAACACTTTTTTTCCACGTCAACCTATTTAGACAATCATAATATTCAGTATTTGGAACATATATGTAGGAATATAGCTACTGACCAGATAAGCAACATAACATAGCCATAATAATAATAAAAAAAAAGAATATAAATGATAATAAAAAGTGTCTAGTATTTGTGTGTCGAGTTTTTTTTCAAGTGAATTTTTTTTTCGTCTTCTTCTTCTTCTTCAGGGGTTATTGGTGTTTTTTTTTGTTTGTTTGTTAGCACAAAAATGTAATTTTCTTTCACTTTTTTTTCTTTATTTATACATCTTTTTTTTCATTTGGTCTCGATTTTCAATCAAGAATTCCATACACAAACACACACTTGAACACTCACACACACACACACATTCACAGCTCAGATACATTTGGAAAGGAATGTTTTCATTTAAAAGTTTATTTCTCTCTTTAACAGTTATTTTAAACGAAAAGAGAGAGAGAGAAAAAAAAACACGATTCGTAATAATGATAAAAACTTTATGTATAAGATGATGACGTTGAAAATGACAATGATACAAACAATGACAATGACCATCGACAACTAACAACTTTGTTCTGGTAATATCATCTAATCGATTCTAAAATGGACAAAATCCAAAAAATAAAATCATTGTATCGTTGTTTTATTTTTTGTTCCATTTATATTCATTCATTTCATTTATTTTTTTCAAGTATTTTACGGTAATCGTTTCATTGTTTATTTCTGGTATTTTTCAGTTTATTTGTTTGTTTGTTTTTTTCCGCTACTGTTCACAACGATGAATGAAATAAGAATTTTATTCTTTTTCCGTGCGTCTTTGTATTTGTATTTGTGTGATGATGAAATGTAATGGAAAAATAAATGTCTTGAAAACGTTTTTTATTGTTTTTCATGATGATGATGATGATAATGATGATGATTTCTTTTGATAATGATCAAACAACAACAACAACAACAACAAAACAATTTGATCATACAATTCTTTATTCATTTCTTTTTTAATTTTAAAATTTTCCATTTGTTTTCACGTTTTTCTCTTTCTATCTCGCTCTTGCTCTGACAAACGCTATTAATTTTGATACCATATTTGATACATTCAAAATTGAAATTTAATTATCCATATAAATTGAATCATTTTATTCTATTTTCTTTTTATTTTTTGTTTTGTTTTCAAATAATAAATTGTTTTGGCTCATTAACGCATATGTTTTTGGTTGACAACGACGACGACGATAACAACAACAACAACAACAAAAATCAATAATAACACACACACACACACACGCACACACTGAAATCATCCAAAATATCAACAATCACATGATGATGGATAATTTATTTGAATTGTAAATGAAACAATTTTTTTCTTGGAACTGTTTTCTTGTTTATAACATTCATTCATCTCTCTACATTATTATTGATCAAAAACAACAACAACAACAACAACAACAACAACGACATCATCAAAACAAAAAAAAAATAATACAAATTCTTATTGCTCATCTATTTAGCTGTAATATTTTGGATGCAATTTGCATAAAATTACATGAAAATCATTTTATACAATCAGATTGTCGCCCTGGTATGACGGCATTTTTGTTGACCACTTGGCTTGGATACATGAATAGCTGTAAGTAGCATTTTCCATTTTTTCCTTTTTATTTCGGATATTTTTCCTGTTTCCGTCCATATATTTATCAATCGTACGATATGTATGATAATGTTGTTGTCATTATTTTGATTTTCAAAATCAAACAAAATTTATCTGTGTAATCATTTTTTTTCCTGTGGAATAAAATTCATTCGTATAGGAATTTTCAATCGATTCTCGATTGTGTATGTGTCATTTTTTTTTTTTTTTGAATGACGGAAAGAAATTTGTTTTTTTTCAATCTTTAAATTCGTATTCTATTCTTTTCTGGGGGGAAAAAAAGGAAATGAAATTCAATTATTACAAATTAAACACTCTACCTATACTAAGACGTACACATAAAAGTCAGAGAAAAAGTACACAAACAAACAAAAAGAAAATAATTAACAAATGCTTAGATGAAACTTTGTCTTTCTCTCTCCCTATCTCTCGTTTTTTTTACACTTGAATGATGATAAAAATATGATGCCTGTGCTTATATTCTTGAATTTATTTTCTTACTTCACACACATGATAAAAAACTACAATTACAAACATTTAATGACTATAATTATTATGAACTAAGTAAGAAAAAAAAATAAATTAATTCAATTCCTGTATGTGTTAGTGTTTGTGTTAAATGTGTTTGTAGCCCTTTTTTTTGACAATATTATTTTCTTTCTATCTCTTTTTCTATTTTTTCTATATTCATTAAACCTTACGACAAAAATCCATTAACAACAACAACAACAAAAAAAAACTACTGACTACTGATCATCACTATATATTCGCTATTTTTGTTTTGATGACAATAATAATGACGACAAACTGAATATTAATATATATGGTGGTGGTTAAATCATTCATTGGTTATTATTATTGTGAACGAAATAAAAAATGAATAAATTCTCAAAATACACACGCACGCACATATATAAATAGGTGCCAATCCTCTCATCTATACAATTTTCAATACAGGTGAGCTTATTTTTATTTCTTACCATTTCTTGTCATTATTCACTTTTTTTTCCCAAATTTCCAATTAATTCATAATAACAATAATAATAATCATCTCATCATTTTCTCTCTCTCTCTCTCTCTCTCTTTTTGCTTTGTTGCTTATACTTTGTTTCATTTCATTTCGCCCATTGCAAACATTTGCTACACATCAAACATATACAAAAGAATTTCGAAAAGCATTCCGTAAAATATTATGTAATTCATAGCCTGTAGCAAAATATTGTGGATGCTGTTGGTAGTTTAAATAATAATGATCAACAACAACAACAACAACAACGGTGGTGATGGTAGAAACAAAACAAAAAAAAACGATTATATTGATGACATAAAAAAACAGTAAAAAAATGATTATGTCACCAGCCACTGAGGAAACGAAAAAAAACCAATGTAAGTGTTTCTTTCTTTTTCATTTGTTCATTTCAAAGATCTTTTTTTTTTTTGGTTTTTTCCATTTCCATTTCCATTTTTTTTTCTCATCTTTCGGTTTCTTATTATTATCTCTTGTTGTTGTATTTTTTCTCTTATTATCATCATTGAAATTATATTCTCATTTTTTTTACATAATCATCACAACGAAAAAATAAATGAAAATCTTTTCCTTCTTTTATGTTTTTTTTTCTATTTTCTTCACCTTTTTTCCACCTTAAATTGCCGCAATAGGGAATGGATTTTCGTCGAATAAAAAAAACCTTCACAAGTCGAGAAATATGAAGAGAAAAATACAAAAAAATGGATTAAATATTGAATTCTAAATGTCAACTATTTGTCATGTGTGTCAACAAATGCTTGTAGGCGATATCCGTGTATGCCAGTGTCATCTATTTATGAAATCTTTCTATTCAAGAATGTAGAAATAAACACAGTGAAAACAAACAATGGAATGAACGAATGAATTATAATGATACAGCACTGAAAAAAAAAATACTAAACTTGGAAAAAATCAACGACAACGACAACAAAATGAATTAATTATATCTACATTGAAAGAAACAAAACAAAAAAAAAAACTAGTGAGACAAAGAAAAACAACAATTCAATTGAATTTATCGAGAAGAAGAAGAAAAAAAAAGTTTCATAGAATATTCTCATCATGTGTTGTGATACGTTCGTTGAATCCGAACACTGATTACTGATGATCGTGGGAAATGATTTTGAAATCATTCATATATTCTGATTACATTAATGAGAATGTATATGTATGTATTGTTGGCAATGTTGTTGAAAATGTAAATTTTCGACAAAATCAAAATCCGGATTTATCAGAATAATTTTCATCGTTTTCAGAATACAATGGAGAGACAACAACAACAACAAAAAAAACAATCAATAATTAAACAGTGAACAATATATATATATACAATATTTATTACTCTTCAGTATTCAGTTCACAAGTTTCTATCGAGATTTTTAACAACAAAAAAAAAAAAAAAAAAAATAATCCACAATGAAACTTTATCGACAAAACAATTTTCACATCGATTCCAAAACATTTGATTTTGTCTCACCTTGTTAAATTTTTTCACACGTTTTTCCTTTTTGTTTTGTTTTGTTCTTCCTCTTTTTTTTTTGGTTTCCGGTTAAAACGATTGAATTTTGCTGCTGTTGAATTTCAATTACAATTCAATGTATATAAATTATTTATGTGAATAAAACAGAAATTTCAATATTTTAATGATAAATATTGTTTTTTTTTTGTTTGTAAATTCTTGAATTTTTGTCACTGAAAAACTTTCATTTTACCATTTTTTTTTTGTTGCATTTCATATGTTTCATGACTATGTTATTCAATATTGATAAAGAATTTGTTTTGTTTTTTGTTTTTTTCAACTCCCAATCTTTGTATCTTTGTTGCTGTTATAAATATTAATAAAATTGAATTTTTAAAATTTTTCTTCAGAAAGTTTCCGGAAATTTTTTTTTTTAACACAGAAAAATTTTTCATTCATATTATCGGTGGATGGTGAACAAAAATCTGTTGTTATTTAGCAACTTTTACATTATTTTTTATGTCAACAAAACAAGTGTTGTTTGGTGAAAGAGAAAAAAAATTCAGTTTCCCTTTTTTTTTGTCAATATCGATCGAAAACGATATGATGATGATGATGTTGATGTAAATAGATTGTTATTTTACTTTAGTTTCAATCAAAGTTTTTTCAACAGCCTGAAAAAAAACGATTTCCGTTTGTAGATCTTGCAACATCATTATGATTTGTTTGAATAAATTTACATTTCTATAAAACATCAGTCATCAGCCATCATCGTTATCATCATCATCATGTGAATCGTAAGCGCAATTGACGAAATGATTTAAAAATTTTTGAGAAAAAAAAACTTTTTAAATTTTGCTTCAATTTTAAATTTTTTTTTTGATTATTCACTATATTTTTTCCCTACTTCTTTGTATTGAATGTGTGTGTGTGTGTGTGTGTGTGTGGGTGGGTGAAATATAAAAATATTGAACCACATTGACTATCTCTGTTTTTTATTGCTAATACCCACAAATAAATTGACTTTGAATATTAGCAAACCAAGAAAAAAAAACTCTGAGAAATAAATGAATGTCTCTTATGGCCGACCAATGTTTGAAAGATTCAGAGATTCATTTTTTTCACTGAAATAGATGATGTTAAACTTAGATTTTTTTCTTGCGAAAACAAAATTCAAAAAGATGAATATATAATGGCCACAATATGTGTATGATGTATGTTATGGACAAACATTATTGGCCAGAAAATAAAGAAACCAAAAAAAAGACAAATTTTACATCTATACAGCCTTGAGGCTTTTAAGTAAACTTTCTCTATATTTTTTTTTCTTTCTAGAATTTGAAATAAAACTATGTAAATAAATATTCATCATCAGAATTTGATAAACAAACGAACAAACAAACAAACAAACCAGACAAATCGTGTTCAATGAATTCTCATCTTATTCTCTTTCGATATCGAATATGTAAAAAATAATAATAATAATAAAAACTAAACCTAATGCCTAGGATCAATGTGCAAAGGAATTATCTGGTTGTGTTCAATTCAAGAATAAATTTTAAATTTTTTTTCTATCCACTACTCTGCCAAATTCTGAATTCTATCGCTCGGATTGTTTGTTCAAAAACATGAAACAAAAAGAAAATTTATTCCAATATAAATTCAATGTAATGAAAAAAAAACTTTTCATGGACTATATTATTGATAAAGCATTAATGGCTCTGAAAAGTTTTCGTCATTTCTTCATTGAATTTTTTTTTCACCTTCTAATTCAAGGTACTTATATTTTAGTTACAGGATTTATTTATTTTATCAAGTTTATTTCATTCTCACTTGATTGTTTTCAGTATACTTGAATATGAAACAAAACAAAAACTATGAAATAATCACATCAAAAAAAAAAAAAAACTTTTGTTGTCTATGATATGTGGGTTATGTAGAATAAATCCTGTAATAATAAACAGAGAGTTTGGCTAGAGGAATATTTACAAGAAAAAAAAAATCATTCAAAATGCAATTTTGTTTTTCATCAACAAGAGATTTTATATTTCGAAAATAATCATTATGGCCGTAGCTACTTTTCTTCCGATATCCGGTTTGTTTAGTTCTGTTTTTACTGTTAAATATTCGATCGAATTGAAATTCGAAATCGAAAAACTAAAACTTGTGCAATGGATGAACGAAAAAAAAATGGTCCAATCATCATCATTGGTGATATATAATTGACGATTACAATTTTAACATTCCGCAGATTTTTTTTTTTTTTATTTCATTCCAGATAAATCAAATTGTACGCGAGCAGAATAAAAGTTCGACAACTGTTCTTTTTGCTTTTTTTTATCACTTAAATCTTTGAGAGTTTGGGAAAAAAGAACTTCATTTATATTAATAAATATTATTTGATTTGATTTGATTTGATTTTGTCTTTGATTTGAACAACAACAGAAACAAACAAAACGATTTTCTGTAATGTTTACGGGTATGTGTGTGTAGTTGTGGACACTTAAAAAAAATAATATATATAAAATCAAATAAGATTCGAAAAAAATTTCTATCGCACACAGAAAAAAATGATTTGAAAAATCATGAGCTTTTCATATACACTGTGTGTGTGTTGTGTTGATGTTTGTTTAATAAATCAATAAATTCGAGTTGATTCGATTTTTGTTTTTTTTGTGATAGATGAAATCAAAATGAAAAAAAATGATGATAATGATGATTTGTTAAATGGGAAAAAAACAATTCGACAATCAATTCAAAATTTTAAATGACTTTCAATTTGTGTTTCGTTTGGGTTTTTTTTTCTTTGTGGATTCAACGTGTACGAATCGAATTGTGATGAAAATTTTTCACTATTCATTTTATATTCAGGTATTTTACTTTTTTATAATGATAGAAATTTCTATATTTGGATTCTCAATAATATTTGCTCAAGAATTTTTATTTTTTCTACTTCATTCTCAGTTGGAATCCAAAATTATTATTTGAAAAACATTCAAACGAACACAAGGACACACACCGGGTATCCATCTGTGAAAGAAAAAAAAACCGAAAAGTGAATTGAATTCAACAACAAGAACGACAAAGATGATGACGACGACGACTACTACAATGGCAACATGCCTTTGAATTGTCAATTGAAAAGGAGAAAAATGAAAAAATTTAATAACAAAAAAAAATTTCCCTTTTTTTTCAATTGCTTCCACTGATTTAACCAGCGGTAAATAGGTAACCATTATGTTTGAACCAAAAGTGAAGAGTGAAAAAATACATTCGATTTTTTTTGTTATTTTTCAACCATTATAAATATGAATGGTTTCAAAATTCATTAAAACATCGATTAGTGCTGACATCTATCGATGAATCAGTATTACTTACATTTTCATTAAAAATGTTTTTTTTCTATTGAATAGAGAAGATAAATAAATAGATATTTTGGATTTTAAAATAAACCAACCGGGAATTAATCATCATCAGAATCGGATAATAGGAAAAAATTCGTGCATAATCTTTACAATCTATTTATCTATGTTATTATGATATTCATTGAAAAAAAGATTTTGTTGTTGCTGAATTTATTTTTATTTATTTTTTTTTTTTTTTTTTTGATTCTACCCACCCGCTACAACACCGTCACCGTTTTTTACTTTTTGATTGAATTTTTTTTCCGTAACTGGTACATATAATTTAAATGGTAAGTTTTTTTCACCGGCTTTAACGATGCTTATATTTATGATTTTTTTTTCTTTTCCATCTTTTTTGGTACAGGTTTTGATGGAAAGAAAAAAAAATGTACTAAACACATAATCATCAATGGCCGTGGTGGTGGTAGTTGTGGAGAGAAGAGGACATCTTTTTCTGTTATTATATTCGAACGGTTAGGATTTTTCTTTTATTTTCATCATCATCATTTTTTTCTTTGATCGGCTTTTTTTGTTGCACAATAGATAGTACACCATGATGATATTATTCATCGGGACCCGAATATTGTCGTCATCGTTTTTTATTCTTGGTTTTGGAATGCAAAATGTATATATGTGCGTGTGTGTGATGTGTACACAAATGTCCTAAATTTATATTTTGTCTTTTGTGAACGAAAAAAATTTTTTTTTTCTAAATTCGGATATAACCGGATTCTATATATGATGTATTCATTAAATATATAGAAACGATACAAAATAATATATCGAAATATCGTATCGACGAATGCCAAATACAAATAAATTGATAGATAAATAGATAGGATAGGTAAGTTGCTAAAGGTAACATAATTCTATATGCAACATTTACTAATATATTGGTACAAGTTTCTTTCTTTTTCTTCCCTGTTGTACCGTCAAGTATGATGATGGAAAGAAAAAAAAGAACTTTATTCTCAACGAAAAAATTTTTTTTTTTCATTATTATTAATCTCATGTATCATGAGTGATATGGAGATAGAGAGAGAGAGAGAGAGAGAGAGAGAGAGAGAGAGAGAGAGAGAGAGAGAGAGAGAGAGAGAGAGAGAGAGAGAGAGAGAGAGAGAGAGAGAGAGAGAGAGAGAGAGAGAGAGAGAGAGAGAGAGAGAGAGAGAGAGAGAGAGAGAGAGAGAGAGAGAGAGAAAGAGAGAGAATAACTAGATATGAATGGGATGAATTGAATGATGATTATGTTGATGATGATGAGGCGGAGAAATATATATGCTGAACATGGGAAATACGATGACAAACATACAACATACAAACATCATATCAAACAAACAATCATTGAATGAATTGAAAATATTCTGTCAGTACATAACAACAACAACAACAAAAATTTTATTTTTGGAGTACAGAATTATATTGCCTTATAAGCAATGAGAAGATTCATGGAAATAAAGAAGTTTTTTTCCCACACACAATTCTTCGGAAATTTTTTTCCGGAATATTTCCAAATGTTCCGGACAATGAATATGTAGTGTATTTGTTAACTACAGTCTATAAGATTTCGAATGTTTATTGAACAAAAATGATGATTTAGATTGTTAATCGATTGTATCGAACGTCAAATTGACCAGGAATAACAAATCGAACGATAATAAACGATGGTCATTGTTTTTTTTTATTTTTTCTGTTCCAAATTCGTTCGATCGAACAACAACAGATCGATATCAATCGTATAAAAAACTGTCAACCTTAATTATTGTGATCTTTGTGCGAGTGTTACACTTTGAAAGGAATAAAAATTTTTAATGATAATGATCAGTGAGAATATTATGTCATTTTGTTTGTATCACACATGGGTTTACTGGAGGAATTTCCCAAATGTTTCATTCTATTCTTATTATTTTAGATTGTTGTGATCATCATCATCATCATCATCATTTATATTAATATTATAAGGAAATGATTTTATATTTTGTGGTTTATTTATTTGGTATGTAATGTTTTATTTTCATTTTTTGTTTGTTTTGTTTCATTGTAATTTTCATTTATAACAATAATTGTTATAAATTGTTTTCACATGTTTTTTCCGTCCAAACAACAGAAAAAAAACAAGATTTTCCTATCAAGCAAATGATCAAGAAAGCAAAAAAACTGAAAACATCTGTGCCTGAATTTGTTGATGAAAGACTAAACTAAAACTCTAAATATCATATAATGATAATAATCAAGAGAATGAGATCGAGAAAATAATCATCATTTCATATGAATAATTGTCCAATTTGGATCACATTTCTCGAACGGGCTTGTCACTATAATGTTAATTCAATTCAATGGTTTTTGATCCTAATTTTGTTTTTTTTTCTGTGGTTAACGTTTAGCACATTAACCACAGAAAAAAAATATCTGAATATTCATCATCATGTTCAGCTGAATCGATTTGATTTAATTTGTAAATATTTTTTTTTCGCCATCATCAAATTTGATCAATATATTAACATCAATGACAGTTATGATCATCATCATCATTATTATTAGCGATATATGACGAAAGAAATTCTTTTGACTTTGTGCGTGTATGTTTATATATCATTAATTGAACGAGACATGATGGCCATCATCAATGTTGTTGTTCCATCGGATAATTTTTTGTTTTCACACACTAAGATAGAAAAAGAAAGAATTTTTCTTGATGATCAAATTCTCTTGTGATGACGAAACAACACATACTAATGATGAACAATCAACAAAAAAAAAAAAAAATTTTTTCCCAAAAAAATAAGAGATGATCGTATGAATAACCAATAATCATCATGATGGATACCATGTATTGCTGATCTTTTTTTTCGTAAGAAAATCTTTGAAACTTCAGCCAAATTTCATCATTCACATTCACATTGGCATATACTGGATAATTCTATATCGGATTCGTTGTTATTTGTGGTTTTCATAAAAGAAAAAAACTAAATAGACTTCAATTTTCTTCACAAGAAAAAAACAAATCACAATTTATTATATTTCATCTAGATTATTTTAAAATAATTATAATTGATAATGGAATGATGAACTTCAAAAAAAAAAGCAAACGATCGAATTGATTTTTTTTTTGGTTTCTTCGGGTTTTGGTTATTTGAGACAAATGTTTGATGACTACAATTGTGTGTGTGTGTGTGTGTGTGTGTAGATGAACAGAATATAATATCAAGAAAATGAAAACATAGAAAATTTATAGGAAAAACCGTGTTACTCATCTAGAATATACATGCGTTTAAATAGAAATAAAAACAAAATGAAGATGGATAATGAAAAAAAAAGAAAACAAAATTTAAGAAAAAGAAAAGAACAAAACATGTGACTATTAATAAACATGCAATGTAATATAATGTAAAATTGAAGATAAATCTGGTTTTATCCGATTATCGTATGATAAAATAATTTACAAATATTTTTTTTTCAAAGGAAACAAACGAAAAAAAACAACAGAAACATCGAATAAATATAAAATTGGCTAGAATTTAGAATTTTTTTTTGAAATGATTTCTTTTTTCTCAGTCTCTTTCCATATGTTTGGTTTGTTGTGGTTTGTGTGTTGATTTTAATCTTCAAGATTTCTAAATGCTTGTTGCATATTTTCATAAAGTTCTTCAAAATCTTTTTTAATTTTTGCTTCACCCAATTTAACCGGATCCTAATGAATAACAATGGAAAAAAAGGATTGAAATTAATAAATTGATTAAACAAAAATCAATTAATAATTCATGATTGTGAGCAAATAATAATTAATTATAAATACAATAATTAGCTCGTTTATAGCTAATTAATTATTAATTACTTACTTTAAATTTCATTGAACTTAATTGATACATAATTTCACCCATTGCTTCTTTAATCATTGAATATGTGACACGATTATCGCCTTTATTTGCATCGACAGCATTTTTAGCTAAATCAAAGAAACCGATCATATTTTTCATCATGCCAACCGTTTTATAGAATGGACAGAAACGATCATATTGTGTATAACCATTTTGTTGTAGAAGATCTTCTTTAATAATTTTGGCAATTTCTAATGTAATTTTATCAGTTTCAGCTAATGATGCTTTACCGACTAGCTGTACGATTTCGGATAAATCTTCTTCTTCTTGCAAAATTTGTGAACACTAACAAAAATTAATTTTAATTGATTTAAAATTGATAAATATTTAACCTTTGAAATAGATAAAACTTACTTTTGTACGTAATGGAACAAATTCTGGATAATTACGATCATAGAAATCATCTAATGCACGCATATATTTTGAATATGAAATTAGCCAATTAATCGATGGAAAATGTTTGCGTTGAGCCAATTTTTTATCTAGACCCCAAAATACTTGAACAATACCGAGTGTAGCCGTTGTAACGGGATCAGAGAAATCACCACCGGGTGGTGATACAGCACCAACAATCGATACTGAACCTTCACGTAATGGATTACCAATACATTTAACACGGCCAGCACGTTCATAGAATGAAGCTAAACGAGCCGAAAGATATGCTGGATAACCAGAATCGGCAGGCATTTCAGCTAAACGACCAGAAATTTCACGAAGAGCTTCAGCCCAACGTGATGTTGAATCGGCCATCATCGATACATTATAGCCCATATCACGAAAATATTCAGCTAATGTGATACCAGTATAAATGGATGCTTCACGAGCAGCTACAGGCATGTTCGATGTATTGGCAACCAATGTTGTTCGCTTCATGATTGATTCAGTTTTACCACCAATTTCAACGGTTAATTGTGGAAAATCTCTCAATACTTCAGCCATTTCATTACCACGTTCACCACAACCAACATAGATGATGACATCACTATTTGAATATTTAGATAATGCTTGTGAGATGACCGTTTTACCACAACCGAATGCACCAGGTATGGCAGTGGTACCACCTTGAACACATGGAAATAATGCATCAAGTACACGTTGGCCAGTCAAAAGTGGATGATTTGCGGCCAATTTTTCGGCTGTTGGACGCATTTGACGTACGGGCCATATTTGTAGCATAGTATATTTAGTTTTTTGGCCATCAAAATCGGTTTCCAGAACCACATCCTTATCAATAATTAATCAAATTTGTTTCCATTAGAAAAATTTCCATTAGCATCGTCCTGATGATAATACTTACATTTAAATCATAGCTACCAGGTTCGGCAATATAGGTAACAATACCACGTGCTTTAGGTGGTAGAATAATTTTGTGGTTAATCAAAGTATTTTCTGGTACACTACCAAAAATATCACCACCAGTAATATTCGAACCGATACGAACATTTTGTGGCATAAAATCCCATTTAACCGTACGGCTTAGAGCAGTTGTATTTACACCTTTAGGAATGTAGATACTATCTGTGACCACATGAATTTCATGAAGTGGTCGTTGGATACCATCAAATATACTGCCCATAATACCGGGACCCAATTCAACGGATAATGGTTTACCGGTTCGTAATACAGGATCACCTACAGTGACACCAGCTAAATTAAAAAAAATCCAATAATAAAATTAAAGAAACGAAAAAATAACTTGTGTCATTCACATACATGTCTCTTCATACACCTGAATGGTAGCCATATCGCCTTCTAAACGAATAATTTCTCCCACCAATTCATCATAACCAACACGAACCAATTCATACATGGCAGCACCGGACATTTTTTCTGCCGTAACCACAGGACCGGATACGGCAAATACATAGCCAAATTGCGATTCTTTAGCATCGGCAATTTTCGGTAAACCGCTTGCTAAATCAATTTCTGTTGTCTAATAATTTGTTTGAGAAAAATAATAAAAAAAAACGAGAAAAAAATAACAATATTACAATCATTCAGACCAAACAAACAAAAAAGAAATGGGCGTAACAAATTGATAATCGATAAATGTTTTATTAATGAAATCGATTTCGAAATGTAAAGCAAATTCAAAGAAATTTGCCCATTCAAATGGTTGCTGATTCATTCAATTCATATTTACCATGATGAATTGTTTAAAATGTTTCAATTAAAAAAATCAACACAAACGAAACTTGTGTGGATGGATTGATTGATGTGAAATAACTTATGGAATCAAAATGATTATGAATATTTTTTTTGCACGAACCAATGATTTCAAAATCAGAGGAATGTTTTTCAGGTGTGTTTCAAAAATTAATTTCGAAAAGAAAAAAATCAAAATATAAAGATTTATTTATTTTTCAATAGTCAGCTCTTTGGGATGATGATGGTGATGATGATGATGATGATGATGATCAAGTACAAAATTGGGAGTTATTGGTGTGATATAGAAATTTTTTTTTCTTGGTTTCTTTGGTCGATATGAGGATTGAATGATGTGATGTTAATGGGGGAGCCTAACAGACATAATATATTGTGTGTGTGTGTGTCAGCGTCCGTTTTTTTGCCGATAGATTCTTTATCGACGGTAGTGGTATCCAATTGTTAAAACAATTTTCATAATCATCATAATCTTGCACATTGGAAGATTGGAAGCAAAGTTAAATGTATGTTTTGTTGTTGTATACAGTGGGTGGAGTTTGGAGCATTGTGTATTTATCGGCTACGATCGGTTAAATTGTTTCAATATTTGTCAATAGATGGCTGAATTGAATTTTGGAATCTTTTGGAATATTAAAAAAAATTTCAAGATTGTCATATTTTTATATTTACAGAATTTTTTTTAAATAAATAAAAAATTACAAATAAAATATGTTTGACATGATAATGATGAATGTTACATATCTTGTACACTCCAATGATAGGCTTCTTCTTGTAAAGCTTCACGATCGGCTTTTTTGGCAAAATATTTTGCTTCATAACCATTGGAACGATCAACACCATCCCAACGATATCCTGGTTGTATATTGAAACGATTCGGTGGTGGTGGTGGACCATGATATTTTGGATATTTTTTATATTCAGGATTTTTACTTTTTTCCTCTTCACGTTTTTTACGTATATTAGCCAACATTGGATCATCTTCACGATCTTTATCCCGTAATAATTTATCCAGATCATCATCATCTTTGTAACGTGCTAATGGTTTTGACATTTCATGTAATTCATTTTCCAATTGTTCTAATTGTTCTTCACGTTGTACTAGGCCTTTCGACCATCGATCATATACGGCTTGTTTTTCCGCCTGTTTGATAGCTTCTTGTTCATCCTTTTCTTGTTTTTCTTTCAGTTCTTTTTCAATTTCACGTATTTTACCAGTTTTTCGGTCACGAATTACTGTTTTAGCATTCCTGCCCAATATACTATCATCTATTTTGCTCATCGCTTTTTCATTTTTCCTTTTTAATTCAGCTAGTTCTTTTTTTATTTCTTTTGCATCGGAAAGACCGGCTTTTTTACCGGCCAATGTTTTTCGCCCCGATGGTTGTTCCAATGATTCTGGTGATTTTATTTGAGCCGAATTTGAATCATCATCTGGACGGTCACCAATCGCTTTCCATTTGGATCGATCAGTAGAATCGGTACGCATATGAATTGGACGTTCATCGATCACAGCCGTAACGATTGGTTTTTCTTCTTTGGTTCCAAAATATAATTCTTCTTCATCACTATCATATCGTTTCAGTTGTCTAAAATCAACATCTTCATCGATGATGGCAACACTAAAAATTAATGATGAAAAGCTTTACATCAAATAACTTTGATTTGTAAACAAAAAAAAACTTACGTTGGTTGTTTGACATTTGAAGCTTTCTTCAATTTCTTTTTGGCAGGTTTATGATCATAATCATCCTGTGATGAATATTTCATTTTCAAATATTCTTGATGTGTCATCGGACGATCATATGATCGTGACATTTTGAACGTTTTCTAAGATTATTAGTAAGAAAAAAAATGATTTTAAAAATGAAATTTTGAAAAAAAACAAACCAAATTGATGCATGCATGAAAATAAAATCAATATATAGATTCTGTCAATAGATATCGTTACGTTACAAAAATGAAAATCATTTCATCATCATGATAATTATTTAAATGAGAATGATGAAATGATTTAATTTCACGAATCAATCAATCGATTAAACGATGAAACGATCACAGTCATACTTTGTCCAGGATTTGAATATCAACAACAACAACAACAACGACAGTGCGAAGAAAACGAAATCAGATCCATCTAATACGAAACGTTTACAACAAGAATTTTTCACACAATATTCAACAATTGAATTGGCTAAAAACTTACTTGGTAAATTATTATGCCGTCAATTTGATAATGGTGTACAGATAAAAGGAATGATTGTCGAAACGGAAGCCTATATTGGACCAGAAGATCATGCTTCATATACATTCGGTGGCCGTCGAACTGTCGCTAATGAACCAATGTATATGACACCCGGTACATGTTTCATACGACTTATATATGGAATGTATTATTGTTTCAATCTATCTAGTCAGGATTATGGCGGAGCCGTTCTCATACGAGCTGTTGAACCTTTGGTTGATTCTATTGATAAAATGATTGAATTACGGCTGCGACATCCGAAAGCATCCAGCAATTCACAACAATTCAAATCAAAACCATATTTATTAGCTAATGGTCCATCCAAATTATGTATTGCATTCAATATTGATCAATTTATGAATCGAAAAAATATCATAACCGATCATTCAATTTGGTTAGAACACAATGATGATGATAATGATCCACTAGAAATAAAACCGGAAAATATTGTTGAATCAACACGAATAGGTATTAGTTCGAAAAATCCATGGTCCAATCGATTGTTGAGATTTTATTTACGACAAAACAGATCTGTGAGCAAATTTTAAAATTTATAAAAATAAAGAAATATAAATTGAATTTTTTTTCTGTTCAAAGTTCTGATTTAGCATCATCGAATTTTTCAAAATAAATCAATTTTTCTTTCGGATCAGGAATGATTGTTTCTGAACCAGGTTTCCAATTTGCTGGACATACTTCACCATGTTGATCAGTATATTGGAATGCTTGTACCAGACGTAATGTTTCATCAACAGATCGACCAACTGGTAGATCATTCATAGTAATCTGACGTAATATGCCATTCTTATCGATAATAAATAGTCCTCTACAAATCAGATCAAATTATGATTTTTTCACATTAATTGATTTGCTTTAATTATTACCTAAGGCTGTGGCCCAAATCTTCAACATAGACACCATAATCTTTGGAAATTTGATGCGTTTGATCCGATAGCAATGGAATGTTTAAATGTCCAAGTCCACCTTGTTTACGAGATGTTTTTATCCAAGCTAAATGTGTATAAGGTGAATCAACGGAACATGCGACAACTTCGGTATTGATGGCTTTAAATTCTTTGATACGATCACTGAATGCAATTATTTCGGTTGGACATACGAACGTGCTTTTTGACCAAATGAATAAAATGTTAAACATGACTTTTTTAGGAAATACAATTTGATCAACTTACAAATCTAATGGATAGAAAAAGAATACAAGATATTTGCCACGAAATTGTGTGAGATTCATCTCTTTAAGATCACCCGAAACGACGGCAGTTCCTTCCCAATACGGTGCAGGTTTCATAACTGAAAAGAAATTTTTTTTTTTAATTTTCACGAGACAATCAATCCAATAATAATATCATTTTATATACTTTGTGCCTTTGACCAATGAAGGCGATGTGAACTTTCACCCGAATGAAGACGACCTTCTCGGGGATAAACATCAAGACCGCTGCCACCGAAATTTTGACATTGTTCAGCAGCCTGTCCCATTATAATGGTCAGCATTGAATTGACAATGAATATGGCGAATATTGTGTTGACAATCATCATTGTATTGGCCATGGCAACAGAATCAAAACAATAAATTGTTTAGCTACTAATTGGTAATTGGTAACTTGGTAATTAAAATGGAAAAAATTAAATGATAGTCATCAATCAATAAATTAAAAAAAAACTAAATCTAATGACGTGTTGGCGTTTTTAAAAATGATGATTAAAAACACATGAGATTGAATCGAATGATATAGTTTTTGACCATTTGGCGCCATCTAATGGACAAATCGGTGAAAAAAATTAATTTTTCAATCTCAAATTATATCAACACAAACCCAATAAATTTAATTTCAATAACGGTCAGAATAAAACAATGACAAAAAGAAAAAAGAACATATTTTATACAAAATTAAAATTTCAAATCAAAATTCAGTTATTTTGTAGTGTTTGTTTTGGAAAAATCCGTAATTGTCGTCGTTGTATCGGTCGATGTCGATAGTAATGATTTTTGATCTGTATCTTTTCCATCATTATCATCATAGGCAATTGTATCGATTGTCCACGATGAATCTGAACTTATAACTGTCATTGTTTCGCTTATATTTGTTATATTTGTAACCGAATCAGATGATAATATTGTTGAATCATAAAATAAACGAAACGAAAAGAATAGATAGGCATTTTTATTACCAAAACGATTAACAAGAAATGTATCATCATTTGCTGCACGTTCAATATCTGAACGATTTGTTGGTAAATCTTTCATAAATATCTCCACGGTTTCAGCAGATAAAATTGGATTGCTGTTTGAAGATGAATTGAATGGTTTTATTGTTATTGGCGTGGCCATTATTTCATCAGTATCACTATCGATTGTTTTTTGCCGTAATCGTAATTTTTCTACAATAATGAAGATGATTAGAATCGAATTGGAATGATATAAGAGCGATATGGAATACCTGTATAATGTTTAATCCAATCATGTAATCGTTGTACAATATCAGCGATAGTATCAGTTCGTCTAGTCGGTGTAAATAATCGACTACCAAAATTAATCAACGGTAATTGTGTTGATTCAAATTCCAGAAAACATATACGAAATATACGCATATAAGCACCATGTTCAGTGAATGCCATTGATCGGCTATCACTTTTTGAATTGGCTATTTTTTTTCAATGGACATAAAAATAAAAATGAATTGATCATAAATTAAATGAAAAATAACATACTGGATTTCATTTTAACATCAATCGATTGAGCATTTAGAAATTGTTTCTGTGGATTTTGTCGTAACCATGATGAACCACGTTCAATAACCTGATCAAAACATTCATATTTGGGACGACGAAAAAATGTTGGTCTTGTCAATTGTATTGGATGAAAATCTTCAATACCAATTTTTGTTATGATTTTTTCATTACTAAATTCATAAAATATTCTCAATATGAATATATTTTTTGTCGATAACATTGATAATGTTTGTTCAGTATTGATTTCCCATTCAAGATTTGCATCATATGCTGCACTTTCAATTGATATAATACGGCCATCAAAACCATTATTATCGATAATATCCTTATTAAAACGTTTTATAACATCATCAAGATCTTCAAATTCACATGTAATATCATTTTTCATTTTTGGTATTATATCCTTGAAGCTATTTATTGTTAAGTGATAAATTTTTTTTTTCAAATATCATTAAAGAAAGAATCAAATTGTAATTAAGAATATTATTATTATATATGATCAAAAATGAATTTTTTCTCTTTACCATATAGTCTGTGATTCTATTTGTTGTTGTTGTTGTTGTTGTTGAATGGTTTGTTGTTGTCGTCGTCGTCGTATCCAAAGTCTATTTCAGTTTAGTTTTAGTTTTTGTTGTTGTTGTTGTTGTGTTGAACAGAAAAATTCATTATGTTGATTAAAAAAAATACGTGTTACACAATTATTCAGTAAAATAACAATAATATAATCGTTCATTTTTTTTCATTGTAACAAAATCTGTTTACCTGAATGCCCGTAAAACATTATTCTTTTCTGAACCATAAATGTAGTAACAACAATCATTTGTTTTCAATTCATAACATTGACTTTGATCATTATATTTGAATGGTATAATAATTGTTTCACCATTTATACATTCCCATTCATTGCCATGATTTTGTAACCATTGATTGGCCACTTCAATCATTGTACTTTTTGTTGTTGTTGTTGTTGTTTTCATGAAAGCCAACCGAAAAACAGAAAAAAAAAACAAAAAAAAATTTGTCAAGATTTATTTTTTTTATTGAAATTCTTTTCTTTTGAAATTGAAGTTTACTGTGATTTTTAAATTAAAAAAAAAATTGTATAACACACCCACAGCATGTCCAGGTTAATACTGCTATATACATACTATACTAAAACAGTAAGTGTAGAGTAAAAAAAAACTGAAGTTTCCGTTTTATTGGTTGAATGAGAATGTCTAACTGACTTATTACTAAAATGAATGACTGACTGACTGATTGATTGATCGACTAACTGGCAAAAATATATAAATGAGAATAATATTCAAATGTTCATAGGTGTGTGTAACCAATAACTTTGTCCAGTACCGATATCTAGGTGGCTTAATTGAATGTTTTTTGTTTTTGGCTGCCTCTCCCATCTAATCACCTAATCTACCTTCATCATTGCTTTTGTTTCAAACAATTTTGCTTCAACAAAATATCCACAATTTATGTTGTTTTTTGTTTTGTTTTGTAAGTAAAAACAATCTGATATGTTTATTTGAATAATATGTTTGTATGTTGTTTTTGAAATACTGTAATGTTTTGCATAGGAATTCTGTTTGATGATTTACGTCATTAGAATTAGGAATATGGTTTTTTTTAGGTGCAATAAAACAACGATGATGATAAGAATATTTCGTCATTTTTTTATCATATCATTACTAGAAAAAAAATCAAGCTAACATTAACGCCCCTGCTGTTTTGTTGACGAAAGCCAAACCTGCACCATTTCTACCACCCCAGACCACAAAATAAATGAAAAGAAAAGTATATAATTTTTTCCAATTCTTGTTTTATCGTTCATTATATTCAGGTATCAATTATTTATATAATGAATACTTTCGAATATCATAGAGAGAAAAAAGAAAAAGAGTAGCATTATACTTTTTTTTCATTTCTAGGTCATCAGTAACCATTTTCATTTGATTCAGAATATTCTTGAGAACAATTTTTTTTTCGCTATGAGGATTCAAATAAAGATAAATTCACACATCCACCCACCAACACAATAACTCAAGAAAAGAAAAGGAAAAGAATTTGGAAATTTGTCGATGAAAATGAATGAATTTTGAAAGAGAAAAAAATACAATTCTGACATCTTAACAATAGTGACCAATAGCAAATTGATGTGGCCATAGAATTTTATTTTTTATGTCCATGTCTGTCTGGTTTGAAAAGAGATGCTATCGTAATGGCTATTAATTTGTGAAAGAATTCTAGTTTCTGGTCTAATTTAGTTTTATAGAATTTGTTATTCATGATTTATGGATTGCATGAATTTTGGTAGATATTTTTTGTTTGTTTGTTGAATTAAATTTTTTTTTTAATAAAACAAGTCCAAAATACATACCTGAATGAATGATATTCAACCTGTGATTGTGACATAACAGCACAGGCACGTTTAATAACACCAGGTATAAAATCAACAAACGTAAATCGTACATTTGGATCATTAATATTTTTATCTAAAATTTGTGGTTGTTCTGGTTGAAAATCACGTTGATAACGTAGATATATTGCAAATGCCATTCTTGATGCTTGAATTGTTAACATTCAAATGATTAATGGAAAGCAACCATTCGATAGATATATTAAGAGCGCGCGCTTTGTCCAAATTCAACAAATGATGCGACGATGCTGAACTACCTTTTTCGGGGTTTGGATCATCGCCAACCAGGACTGAGTAAGAGAAAATAAATCTAACAATAACAATAGCAAATGCAGCAAAACTACCCGAAAATGTGTTATGGAAGCGAATTGCATAACACAGCAACTAATCAGACAAAAATATATAATAAAAATATCTATACCAGAAATTCGGCCACAATAATATTCTTACACCATTTGGGATAGTAGTAGTAGCAATTATTCTGGAATTTTGAAATCAAAAAACCAGAATAATTGCTACCACTAGTACTACTGCTACTACTACAACTACTAAAAAATATGTCGCATTCCAGAATAATAATTGAAATTATGGTAAGAAAAAAAAGTATTCAAATTCTATATAAACATTAATGGAATAATGGGAAGAAAATTAACTTTGAAAGACTTTTTTCTTCTGATCGATATTGAATATTGATAGGATTCAAATTCAATTCGGAAGAAAAAGAAGAAAATTTCCATGTAAAATGACAGCTATTCATTTTCTTTTAATTGCATTATAAATTCTTTATTTTTATTTTTTTTTGTCTAACCAAAATTGATGAAGAAAAATTTACAATTTTGATTACAATTACATTTTTAAAACAGATGGCTATTGATTTTCACTATAATGATATTATCATTCAAACATATCGATTGTTTAGACATCATAACCGATTAGATTTCGTTTTCCAATGACTTCACCGACAAAAAACCAGCACATAACTTCAATACCGATCAATGTATTGATCCATGCTTCTTTGACCGGTAATCGTGTCCAACGCATCGAAACTGTTCCGCTTATAAGATTGGAAAAACCTTTTATAATTGCCGGTATATCAGCTGGTGTTGGTGGATATAATTCCGTTTTAGCAAAACGATTAAATTCACGAAGTTTTGGCTTTGCGGCTATACCAATGATGATTAAATAATTAGATCATGTGCAAATATATAATAGAATAAAATCTTACCAGCCATAAGAACGGGAATTTTAGCAGCTAATTTCGACATTTTTTCAATTTGGAATTTTTTTATTTTATTTCTTATCTATAGATAATTATTAACAAAACGAAACTCGAAAACAAACCGAGAAACCAAAACACATACACAGAATGAACAAGACAACTTAACCTCGCTTTCGATCAAAAGGACTTTAAGGATCCTATTCATAAATGATAGTATCGACTTGATATGAATTTTATGTTAAATCGAAAAAAACTCTTTTTTACAAAAAATCGATTTCAGAAAATTTATTCTAATTGTAATTATTATTATAAGATTTTTTGCTGAAAAAAATTCCATGAAATTGGAATAAAAAATAGTGATGAGAAATTATAGAATTTCAAAAAAAACAAAAAATAGCGTATCGTTTTATTTGAACTGAACCGATCGAGTGTTTGTGTGTGTGTGTGTGTGTGATATAACAACAACTAAAACTTTAGGCATGATGGCGCCAAGTGAAAATTGACAAGCTGCAAAATATACACAGCTTGTAAGCTCGTGGTACTCTCTCTCTCTCTCTCTCTCTCTCTCTGTGCATCAAGTATATGCACAAAACACAATCAACCGAAACTTAACTCTTCACAACCTAACCAGAATCAAGACACAAAAAAAAATCCAGCCAGCTCCATCATCACACAGACATCCGACGCATCATTGCACACTTGAATAACAACTACGAAAAAAAAAAATTTAAACAATGTAAAACAAAAAAAAAATTCATTGTCGACATTGAATAATATAACTTACGTAACAAACAAAAAGCGGGGAGCAGCTACCGCAGCATGTTATCCTTTCATAATAATAAAATTTTACAATATTGATCCGGCACGTGCCGAAAAAAAAACATTTTTGTTTTTTTTATTATTATTGATTTCAAAGTGTTTTTTTTTTCTACTCGGAACAATAAAATATTCATCATCATTCAAAATCAATCAATTGACATTCTTGGTGTGTGATTTAAAAATTTTGAAATTCAATTGAAATAATGAAATTTTTTTCAAATTTTTAAAGGTTTGTAAATTCTCTTCCTAACTATTATTTCACTATCATCATAAGCATCATCAATGATATAAAAAAGATTAGCGCATGATCTACATAGGTTGTCCATAGATTCTCCAAATAACCCCGAACAACAACAACAACAACATCCACATAATTTTCATTTATTTTTTTTGTTTTGTTTTGTTATTATTATTCACTATGTGATGATTAGGAGCTCAATCTTTGAATGATTATTGCTTGTTATTTTAATGATGATATTTTATATACCGTTGTATATAGTTTCACAGTATGTGCAATTTGTATACAGCAACAACAACAACAACAAAAATGAATCCTTTATATACATCGAATACTAATTATTATTATCATTTAACATCAGCATACGATTACATTCGATAAATATTTGAATTGAAATTTTTTTTTCATATATTACACACATACATTTTTCTTGTATAATAATCAATGAAAAAGTAAGCTCATCATTCATTCATTCGTTTTGTTTTGTTTGTTGGCTATATTAGTAACGTTTTCTCCCCTCTCTTTCTCGTTTCGACTAAAACTCTATTTGGTGTGAATATAAAAAAATAAATGCCGTAACATTAGCAGCAATTTTTATCAGTAGAAAATTTTGTAACATCTGTAGGCAGAGTGAGAGAATGAGAGAAAGAGTTACATAGATGATGTTTTTGATAATTTTTTTTTTATTATTTGTCGAATGGAACAGATTTGGATCGTTTGATCCAAATGTTTTTCATGTTTTTGTTGTTGTTTTTGTTCTAAAAATAATATTTTTTTTGAAACATTACATTTTCAATTACAACAGTTATATATAATCTTTATTATTCCATTTATCGAATTCGATTTTATCGAATTTCAAATGTTCTTTTTTTCCTCTTCTTTGTTGTTGTGTGGTATATGTAATTTTTAATCAATTATTTTATTTTCCAGATTCAAATGAATTTTGTTTTTTCTTTCATCTGAATTGTTATTCTGTTTATAACAAACAATTTTCATCACAGAATTATGATTTGATTCAACAATTCGTAATTTTTGAAATCATTTTTTTTTCATTTATTAATTTTCATCCCATGTTTTCTACTTTTACTTAGGATTGTTTGTCCATATTCTACATTTTTTTTTGTTGTTACTGTTTTTGTTCATCCATCAAACATCATCACTTGACTGGATCCAGAAACAAAGTACAAAACGATTAACTCCAGAAGGATAAGAAAAAAAATACTGAAATAAACTTCATGAATGCCATAAATTGCAGTAATAGTCAAAATTAAAAGTTAGTTTTTTTACACTATTCAAATTTTATTTGATTATTGAAATTATTGTTTTTTTTTATAGAAATTTTCGGCCATGGAACAGAATGGTAATGATGGCCATGTGTCCAATGTTGATGCTGCTGTAGGCGGTAATAATAATGGAGTCAAAATGACATCCACAACAACAACACCAGCGAAAAAAAATATTCGAGTAATTCGTAGCCTAGATTGGGATGATTATCTAAAAGTTTGCCAGGGACGACCAGCGCCAGCTGAATATTTTAATCATCATCTGGAACCGCCTGATAATGAATTTAAAATATATCAAAAACTTGAAGTATCTAGTCCGGATAGTCACGATTTCGTACATTTAGCAACCGTTGTCGGTTATATGGGTCCACGTTTGCAGCTACGACTGGATGGTTGTGACAATGCAAATGATTTTTTCGAACTAGTCGATTCTGAAGCAATAAGTCCAATTGGTACTTATAAATCAAAAAACCGTTTTTTCGCTGCACCATTACGTTTTCGTAGAGATGCGGTGACATATGCCAGTTTCTGTAGACAGGTCCTTAAAAATTCGGTACATGCACCGGAAAAATGTTTCAAACCACCACCAAAACGTCCGGATAGAAATTATTTTGAACCCGGTATGAAATTGGAAGCGGTCGATAAGAAACATCAATCAAATATTTGTCCAGCAACAATAAAAAGTGTTGATAACTCTGAAGTAGAGATACATCTGGATGGTTGGGATAATAATAATGATTATAAGTGTTCTTATTATTCACGACATATATTTCCAGTTGGTTGGTGTAAAAAAACTGGCCATATACTTCAATTACCCGGACCTAGAGGTATTATTGTTTTTTCTATATTCTTTTGAAATTTTTCTCAAAAAATTTTATTTCCATTTTTCAGTTGAATATGAAATTGATGTTAAAAAGCAGCAACACCAACAACAACGATTGCAATCCGATACAAGTATTACACAAATTGATTCAAAGTCTTCACAATCGAATAATGATAATTATCATCCAGTTAATAATAAAGGTCAAAATCACAATCGCAATCATCATATTGATCCATCATCATCAAATGAAGCGATCAAAATTAAATCGACCGTCTTTAATGATAATGAACGGAAAAAAATATCCATTTATCATCCTCATCATAATCACAATCAAAACAATAATAATGAACAGAAAATGGAATCACCATCAAATTTTCATTCATCAACAATTGATTTGATGGAACAAAAAAAACTAATTGGTGATCATTCAATAACCAAGGATATTAAACCAGTGATGGAAAGTTTAAAAAAACAAAACATTAATCGCAAATCTTTGATTAATTCCATTTCATCGGATCATCATTCAGCAACGATAACGACATTGACATCGACAGCTTCCAAAGCATCATCATCATCATCATTAGCATCAGATTCTTCCATTAATTCATCGAAAAATATTGATATAAATAAACGTAAACATAGTGAGAATAATATTAATTATAATCATCATCAACAGCATCAGAAATCTAATAATCAACTAAAACATGGTACTAATACACAAACATTAGTAAATTCCAGTGCCTCTCCCACAACAGCAATGACAATAAATCAGAAATCAATGGAAATTCCATTAATGAATGTTACGAAACGTCCACAGGAAAACAAAGATGTATCCACATCGGTAAAGATTGATAGAAAATCTATTGTTGGAAATAGCCATAATCAAAATCAAAATAATCATCATCAACAACAACAACCCATTCAAAATAGTAGAAAGAAACGGATAAAATTAACACCACCGGTGATAAATAAATTACCAACATTTGTTAATGGTAAAAACAACAACAACAACAACAACAATGAAAATATAAATGATGCTGATAATATTAATGTAATAAATCAATCATCATTGATAATGATAAAATATAAAACTGATTTGCCAACAAGAGAATCGGTTCATCAATGGTCAGTGGATGAATTGATAGAATTTTTGAACATGCGTTTTCCAGAGTTTCATAAATTTGAACAAAATTTTCGATCTCATGTAAGTTTTTTTTTTCATTTGTGAATGGTTTTTTCATCAATCATTGAATTAATTACAAAATTTTTAGGAAATTGATGGCTATGCTTTCCTACTATTAACTAATCATGATTTAATGATGAAATTTTTGGGCGTTAAATTGGGCTATTCACTTAAGATTATTGATCTAATTGAAAAGATTAATAATGGTGATGGAAATAATTTGGATACAGCAAGCAGTTCGTCGAATTAATGGAATGGAATGGAAACGAGATTTTTTATCATCTTCCACATACATACACACACACACACACACACAAACAACTACCCACCCATACACATATACGCAGAGATAATATAAAAATGCACCGGGTCGAATACGCCTACCATCCACTAACATAAATCTACATTTATCTTATTACGGATCTGTTATTAATTTACTATAAATTCTATATGTGTAACTTTTTCTGAAAATTCTTTATCTCATCATCATCATTGTCATCAATTTTTTTTTGTGGGAAAAAATGATAATGTTTTTCGGCCACTTTTTTTCATAATCTCACCCAATCATTATTATCGTTGTTTATTAGCCAAATTCAAATTTGGCTTAATTTTGAATCAAGAAACTTTTTATTCACTAATTTAGGTACCCAGTACGAAACAAAACTCTTATTTCTTTTTTTTCTGGCGTTTTTTTCTTGTTTGAATTTATTCAACTGCAACAAATCAATTTTTGATCATCGAAATTCTCTATATATTATGGTGGGCACGAGAAAAGAAAAATTCAAAAAACTTTTTCTTCCTTGGTGCGAAATATTTTGTTTTTGTTTTTAAATGTTTATCATGATCAAAAAAAATGCTAATTTTTCAGAAGAAAAATAAAAACCGAAAGTATATTCAATTCAATGTTTAATGATTGTTGAAATTGTTCGAATGTGGCAATTTAAATTTCGATGTTTAAAAATATCGATTGTATCGTTTTGCAATACACGTGATAAGAATTATTTTTTTTTTTTTTTTTGGATGAAAACAAGAATTTAAAAAAAAAAAAAATATTCAAAACAAAATGACATCGGAAATTATCGATGGTGATTCATTGACAAAAATCATAACAAAAGAATTGGATATCGGTCTTTATCCACAATTTATGGGCCGTGAAGAATCTTGTGTAAATAAATTGTTAAAACAGCGAAAATTCAAATATAATCCCGAGTAAGATTTTTTTTTTTTTGATGTTGGCTAACAACGAATTTTAATTCGATTTAAATTGATTAATAATTTTGATTTGTTTTGTTTTCAAATTATTAAGTCTAAATGGTATACTAATACGGTTTGATGATCTGGAATTTTTAACCGATACCGGACGAATAATCGATGATAGTCCATTGATATTCTGGAAAATTAGAGGGAAATTTCATATATTCAATGTACAACCGAATCAAATATTGAAAAGTTTTATCAACAGGTTTGTTATTTTTAAAATTTTCATAATTTTCTTTTAAAAATAATATTCTTCATTCATTCATTATAGAATCGGCAAAGAATATATTGGCTGTTCATTTGCAGGCTGTATTGATGTAACAATAAAATTTGAATGTCAAACATTCGATCATGAACAGATTGATGATATTTGTTCCAGTCTAAATATTAGTGATTCGATTACTTTCAAAGTGAAACGTTTCATACCGACACAACGTTATATTGAAGGTATTATTGATGATGAAATATTTCGAATCATTCTCAATGACAATAATGATAATAAAAATAGAATAAAAAGATGAATATTTTGTTTGTTTGATTTACTGTGCCATTTAATCTATAATTCATACACAAAGAAAAAAAAACATTCTTTTTATTCAAATTTGATTCCCTGTGCCAATGGTAGCTCTTTAGAATAATTGATTGTACATGTTGACCTTCGCATATATTGTTTCCATGAATCTGAACCAGATTCTCTTCCACCTCCTGTTGCCTATAAATAATGAATTTCATTAAAATTCATCATAAAAAATAATCAATGAATAAATTATTAAAGTGGTTATAAAATAAAAGTTCTATGAATCTAGAATAAAATATGTATCTAATATAATCGAAATCATATTCATACCTTTTCACCACCAAACGCTCCACCAATTTCGGCACCATTTGTCGGAATATTAACATTGACAATACCACAATCAGAACCTTTGGGTCCAGTCCACTGTATGATTATTATAATGATAATTAAAATAATTATAACTTGGATAAAATAAATATTTACCTTGAATATGCTGTTAAGATTCGATGTAAAAATGCTACTGGATAGTCCTTGTTCGACTTCATTATTCCAAGCAATTGCATCGTTCAATTGCTTGAATGGTATGATGTAAACAATCGGAGCAAATGTTTCCGTATGTACCATTGTTGAATCATGAGATAATCCGGTAATGATTGTTGGTTCAACATATAAACCTGGCCGATTCATACGTTTACCACCGCAAATGATTTTACCACCCGATTCAATTGCAGCTTTGATTGTTTTTTCATAATTATTGACAGCTTGTTCTGAATGTAATGGGCCATAAAGTGTATCCGTATCTAATGGATCACCGACTCGTACTCGACCATAAGCATCGGATAAACGTTCGACAATTTTATCATGAATATTTTCATGAACAAATAGCCGTCTTGTAGTCGTACATCGTTGTCCGGCCGTACCAACACATGCGAACAATGAAGCACGAATAACCATATCAATATCGGCATCATGATCAACAATAATTGCATTATTGCCGCCCAATTCAAGAATGTGTTTACCAAATCTTTGTTGTACGGCAACGCCTACTTCACGACCAATTTGACAACTTCCGGTGAACGATACTAATGGTAAACGTTTATCATTGGCAATAGCTTTACCGATATCTGCATCACCACTAACTAAAGTGCACAACGATGCTGGTAAATTATTATTTTTGAAAACTTTTTCCAAAATTTTTGTTACAGCAACCGCACATAACGAAGTTGTTGGTGCCGGTTTCCAAAGTGTTGTATTACCACAGACCAATGAGATGGCATTGTTCCAACCGAAAACAGCAACTGTTTGAAAAGAAATATTGTTATTATAATTTTTAAATTCTAAATGTTCATCTACCTGGAAAATTGAATGCCGAAATAACGCCAACTGTGCCCAGCGGATTCCAATTCTCCATGAGTACATGATTCGGACGTTCAGATGGTATGATTTTTCCATTCAACATTCGTGATAATCCAACTGCATAATCACAGATATCAATATATTCTTGAACTTCACCTTCACCTTCGCTCAGGATTTTGCCCATTTCCAAAGAAATTAATTTTCCTAGGTCGGATTTCTTTTCTCGTAATGCATTACCAATTTGACGAACAATTTCACCACGTTGTGGTGCAGGCATTTCGGCCCATTGTTGCCATGCTTTTCCAGATTCCTGTACAGCTTCATTATAATCATCATGATTTCCGGTCACAATTTCAGCAATAACACGGCCATCCGATGGATTTATCGATGTTATTGTCTATCCATATAAGTTATTAAAAAGAAATTCATTGAAAAATGATACTGACCTTTCCATGAGCATTCCAACCGTTCGTAAAGACACCGATATTAGTACGTTCTATGCTAAGATTTCGAAGAAAATCATATTTCGGTTCTTCAATCAAATATTTTGATGTTGTCGCCATCATACGATAGTTGATGATGGAATTTTTCGAAACCAATAATGAATTGGTCAATAACGATGAAAAATTCACCAATGACATTCGCATCATTATTTTTGATATTAAAACTTTCAATGTTGCCAATTCGATGTGTATACAACAACAAACAAACAAACATATTAAAGTGTTTTTCCATTTTTCTTCCACTATCATCATCACATATCATATCATATTATAATGGATAGAAACAGAAAAAAATCAATCATATCATCATTCAAATTTGAATGATCATCAAATCATTCGATTCGAATTCAAATGTAATGAGTGCACAAATGAAAAACAGAACTAATCCAATTCATTATGATGCTTGTCTTTAACTAATTATTTCAACTAATCTTTCAATATGATAATTCATAAATATCGTTTTCGTTTTATTTCAATAAATAATTTTTTTTGAATATTTTTTTACAATTACAATCATCATTATCATCATATTATATAATAATCATCTGAGAGCAAGGCACACATGCACACACTTAAAGATATTTAAGTAAATTTTTTTCATTTGATTCAAAAGGCTCAAAAAAACATTTTGATAATCTGTTAAAGCTGCTGTTTCAACAAAGGCTTATCGTATGAATGTCACGTTTCTGGCCATAACGTAATGAATCTATTTGATTGAATGAAAACGAAACAAAAAAAAATTTAAACAAAAATTATCATTTTCATTCTTTTTTGTGGGTTTTTTTTTAAACAACAAACTTTTAATAAAAACGATTCCCCACATAATAGACCAGACCCAACCGAAAACCAATATGGCCGTTATAAATTGTAATAATGATGATAGAAAACAGATTAAAAATGCTTGATAACCATAACCGGGTCCATATTCGGTTTGTGAACCAAAAACAATTGCAAACGATGCTAAAAATGTTCCTGTTTTTGCAACAAACAAACAGTTTACGATATGAAAACAAAAAACCAAATGAACATACCTGAACCGGGTAGTAAAAGATTTAGCATACAAAACATGACAGCAATAGCTAATGGTAATGTAGGTACGGCTTTACGAAAAAAACCATGTTTTTCAGCATCATTAATGAAATATAAACGATAATCCAATTGTGTCAATTGAATTGGATGATTTAGCTGATTTGGTTTAAATAATGGTTGAATAATAGATGATGAAGAATTATTCGTTTTATTGTTATTATTAGAATGATTATGATTATGATGATGATGATTAATATCCGGTGTATTACATATTTCCGTATATTCAGTATTTGACGAATTATTACCAAATGGTGATGATGATGATATTTCTGGACTTAATGGTATATTATTATTAATATCCGTATGGCCATTATTATTATTATTATTATTATTAGACAATGATTTTAATTTCAATTTTTTATAATTAATATCTTTTACAATCTTTGTTGTCGTTGTTGTTGTTGTTTCTGCTGCTGCTGCTGCTGTTGTTGTTGTTGTTGTTGTTGATGTTTTTATTTCATTTTTGCCAATGCCAGCACCCCCATATTTAAAGATTAAATTAGATTCTTCTGGCTGTTGTTGTTGTTGAAATGTATCAGCCCATAAAATTCTTTGATTTTTTGTTTGTTGTTGTTTATTGTTATTATTACTTAATATTATTGATGATGATCGACATAATTCACAAAAATCTATACTATCATCCGTTTGATAATGTTGATTATTATCCATTATAAGAGTGGCCGATTGATTAGATGATGTTGAATGTTTTTTCTTCTTGTCAATACATTTTCTATCATTATTATTATTACCATTTAACAATGAATTTGTCATTGATAAATCATCATTATTTATTGTTAAACAACAATTTTCCGATTCACAACACGTGACCGTACAAAGATAATATGGTGATGATGATTTCATTTCATTATTATTTTCATGTCGCTGTTGTTGTTGTTGTTGTTGTTTAACTATGGATGCTGTATTACTGTTATTAATATTAATTGTACGCATCGAATTTAATGCATATATTAATGGATCTTCATTACAATAACCACAATTCGTATTGATTGTATTACCATCGGTAATTGTGGATGTTAATGATTGAAATGGTAATGATGATGATGATGATGTTCTGGGCATTTTTGGACGAATCAATCAACAAGTTTTGATGGTCATTTGTATCGTTCATTATAGAACATTGTTTCAAATTTTACAATTTGTTTACTAACGAAACTTACACACCTGAACACACACACACAGGCCACAAACCACCAAAATGAAAGCCAAAAGAAATTATTATTTCAAAATTGAATTTTTTTTTTGGCTTTCAATTGTTTAAACAGTTTTAGTAGTATTGTGGTTTTTTTCTGATTTATGGCTATTGAAAATCAACTACGAAAAAAAAACAATGATGATTTCCGATTGGTTTATCTTGATCATCAAGAATTGTAGCAGTAGCAATAGCAGTTGTAACTGTTGTCATTGTTACATGACAACCAGACACATTTATACAAACGAATACACACACACACACACACATAAACTAAATGCCCTGAACCTGAATTCAGTAGCCATGAATTAGATAGATAATAATGAGAAAAATGAATAGAATGACCATGAAAAAAAATCATGAATTACAATTTCAATTATAATATAATCATAGAATATGATTTACCTTTACTGGTTCTATTCTGGTTTTTTTTTTGATTTCGTGGTCACGGTTATCATTGTTGTTGTTATTGGACGTCGTTGTCGTGGTCACCATATTAACATAGCAGAATGACCATCCTCATCATCATCAACGTAAATCACGTACATATACGTATTCACTGTTGTATACATAAATAATATTGACCATTGCAATGGCATATTCATACGTCATATCTATTGTATGTATTTGTTTGGGTTGTTCATATGATCATATCCTTTTTTCGGTTCTTTTTTTACATTTGAATTTCATGAATTACTTTCGTTTTATCTTATATACATCAATATTTTATTAATAACAAACACAAAAAAAAACAAAACAAACAACCACAATAACAATAACATTGATATGACAAACGAATAAACGATTATTATTAGACAAGGGTATATGATAATTGGCTGGAAAGAAAGCATAGATATAATCGCTTGGGTACAAAAAGATTAAACATTCAAAAAAAAAAATGATCATTACCAAGACGATAACCACCACCGATGGTCAGAAAAACGAAAAAAAAGGTTTCAACATTGACATTTTATATGGTGTGTATTTTTTTTTCATGTTTTTCATGTTAATATAATAGCCATGGTGGTATTTGGTCTTTATCGAAGGTTAACAAACACACACACACAGACAAACAGGTAAAACAGAAAGACAGACAGGGAGAAATATTACGGGTAAAAAATGAGAATAATGATTATTATTATTATTTCGAAAAAAGGATTGTTTTAATCATGTGTACCGGTAATGAAAATACAATTTCAATCAGTATTCAGATCATGTGTTCATGTGTTCATGTGTGTGTGTGTGATATTGATTCATATTGAATGATTATGAAATGTTGTCATTTGATGATGGCCATCAGAATTTAAATCAACCTTACCGACCGGCTAAACATTGTGGATTTTTGTTGTTGTAAATCTCATAATCAAAATTTCAATAACGACAAAAAAAACAATAATGATGTACAGAAATTAGAGATAATGTGAAAATAACTTTTGTAAAAATAAACAATAAAAAGGTTAAAAATTGAACACAATTTTATTATATAACTGCAAACTTCTTTTTCATCATCATTCAAAATAATGAAAAAAGAATTTCAAGGTAAAATGAAATTCTCATTGGAAAAAATTAAAAAAAAAAAAAAAAAATTTAGGTATCGCCATCTGACGGTCGAAAAAATTATCATTATCATCGATTAATTGATTGATGATCAAAATAATAACAAACTATGACAACGATGAAAACGAAAACAAATCTCAATTGTGAAATTTGATTTTTTCGCTTTTTCATTACTCGAATATAATTAATAATAATAATTCGAAAGAAAATTGTCAATATTTTTGTCTCACTCTCTCTCTCTCTCTCTCTCTCTTTCTCTATTGGTGGCCTCACATTTTGTTTTTAGTTTTTATTGAAGGGCGGTATTTTTCATTCAAATGTTCATCACCACCACTATTCAACGTCGATCTTCATTATTGATTGTAGTTATTTTACGTAGTGTTCATTATCATTATTATCAACAACAACCACAACAAAAAAAGCCACAATACCGACAACAACGACGACGGAATTTTCAATTATCATCAATCAATCATTGCCACCATCATCGTAATCATTATCATAAGTGCCATAATAATTTTTATTTTAATCAAAAATTTAACCATTTTTCCAAATTCACTATGTCGGCAAAAACGACCAAGGTGATGGATATAACGAACAATAACAATAATGTGGATGAAGAACGAAATTCATCATCAGAAATGCCTCGAATAACACATGTAATATTCGATCTGGATGGTCTACTATTGGATACTGAATTTGCCTATGAACAGGCTACACAACAAATTGTTCAAAGATATGGTCGTTCATTTACATTGGAAGATAAATTGAAAATTCTTGGACGACCAGGTTCGGTTGTAGCACGTATGATTGTCGATGATCTTAAACTGCCCATAAGTGTTTCAGAATTTATGCAACAATTCGATGAAGAATATTGTAATCTTGTCAATGTACAACCAGTGCCTTTAATGCCTGGTGCTGAACGTCTAATACGACATTTGAATCGTTTCCAAATACCTACAGCTATAGCTACGGGTAGCCGTCGTTTTACATATGAATTGAATACAAAATTTCACAAAAATCTGTTCCAATCATTTCATCATGTACTCATGACACCTGAAGATCCAGAAGTGACACGTGGAAAACCAGATCCACAACCTTATTTAATATGTGCCAAACGTTTTGAAAATGTTCCAACAACAATGATTGATAATAATCGTTCCATATTGGTTTTCGAAGATTCATTAGTCGGTATTGAATCAGCAAATCGTGCCGGTATGACAACCGTATGGATACCGGATTATCGTTTTGATCGACATAAACATCAACATCAAAAACAGCAACATTCATCATCATTATCATCATCATGGTCGAAACCATGCTTGGTGTTGGATTCATTGAAATTATTTCAACCAGAATTATTTGGTCTGCCACAATTTCTAGATGATTAACCAAAAAAAATTTTTTTTTTTTAAATAATAAGCATAATATTCTGCCTTGTATGCTCAAATTATTCTTATCAAGAAAACTTGATTGTTTTCTTATAGAAATTTCTTTTTTGGAATATTTTTTTTTCTTTTGCTACAATTTCAATTCATTTAAATAAAGAAAAATTGATTTATGATTATTTATGAACGTCTGTTGTAGTTGATTGATTGTGTTTAGGCACCAGTATTTTTAGTCTGTGTATTACTGCAGTTATTTGACCAATATTTCCGTCGTAATTCAGCAATTTTATCCTCTGTATTCAGCTGTTTAATTGCATTGTTAAAATGTTGCAAATATTGGGAATCTTTTGGCAATGCGAATGCATATTTTCTTGGGTAAAGATTACGCCAATCCAATAACATTGTCAGTTTACAATTATTAGCAATTTCATGTTCGGCCGATGATGATTCCATAATGAATGCATAGCCACCTTGCTTATCCACACGTTCGATACCTTTTGATATGCTTGTAGTGGCTGATTGATCATTAGCTTTTATTTGTTCATACATTTTCTTAGCAAGTGGATCATCACTTTTGGAAAGGAAATGATTCGTGGCACCATTACGTAATGTTCCCAATATAATTGGTTTATGATTTGGCTGTGTTTTACCTGCATTAACTAAATCTTCCAATGTATTCATTCCTTCTGCATCTTCACGTCGTATGAGCGCTGCCAATTGATTAATCATAAATGGTTCGGTAAATGTAATATAATTTTCACGTGCTTCGGTCATTGTCAGATCAGCAGCGGCAAAATCTGCTTTCTATGTAAAAATAATAATAATATATCAATCATTATAATCATCATGATATGGATGATTTAACATTAACAAACCTTATTATAGACTTCACCAATCATGCCGGTGACATTACCCTCTTTATCGGCATTACCATATCGGCCATCTGGAGATAAATATAATGTATAATCAAAACCAGCTTTTTCGGCAATCGCATCCATTAGATCAGGAATGAATCCTTTAAATTTGCCATCGATTTCTTCCAAAAATGGAGCATTCTGTCAAATGAAAAAACATCAACATTATAATAGAACAAAAATTGTTTTGATTGATACACGAATGCTTACACGAATAGTAACACCTCGAAGTGATGGTCGCTGTGCTGGAGAAGCATTGACCATTAAAATGCAAATGGCAATCGATGATAATGTCCGTGCAATCATAATTCTGTTGTCAATGTTTAGTAAAAAAAAGATGAATAACTTACCAAAAACAAAATGAATGCATCAATTGGCCAGAGAATCGTATCTTATATACATGAGATTTATGATTGACAATCTGGATAATTGCAATTCAATGAAAAAAAAACCAAAAAATAAAAAACAACGAAAATTGCAATGGCAAAAAAAAACGAAGTCAAGGTTATCAAAAACCAGCACCCAACACTCAATTATCATTCATCATTCGATTTGTTCATCATTATTGATTAATTGATGGATTTATGAATTGATTAATTAAAGAGGATAATAATAATAAATAATAATAACGAACATTCGATTTTTGTATTTCGATCATTTTCAATTTTTTTTTCTTACACATCGAATCGATTATGTATCATCATCTCCATCAATAATTGTCGCTAATCATATAATTGATAAAATGATAAAATTAGATGGACATCAAAATCCGCTATGCTTTATGTTTGACTGTCTGTCTATTCGTCTGTCTGTCCATCCGACCAAATGATTCGAATCGAACAAAGTTCGATAATTTTTTTTTCTTCATTTTTGTTTGTTATTTTCTTTGGCAAAATTATTATTCATACGTCAACATACTCACATAACAATTTTATCATCAAACATTTGATAAATGAAGAAAATTTTATTTGAAGAATTAATTTTTTTTTATTATCAAAAGCAACAACAACCAACCAAAAGGAATGATGATGAGGTTTGTTTTGTATATTTTTGATTTTTTTATCTCGTTAATGGAATGATTTTTTTTTCTCTGATTACTTTTAGACAAAACAACAACAACAACAATCTTGACATATCAATTTCAAGTTGTTGCATTCGATATAATTTATTTCTGGAACTAAGAAAATTTCTGAATTCAGTGTTGGAAAAAAACTTTCAATCAACTTTGACACATTTGATAATGATGATATATGATGATTTGTAAACATCAACACACAGGATTAATTTACAAATGATGATTTTGATGATCGGTCGAATCGAACGGATCAACTATGATAATAATATGATGGGGGAAAATTTCAGTATATCGAATAGCTAGACTATTTTCTTAGATAATTTAAATTACCATTATAAACAAAAATGTATCAACTTAAGGATGCCGCCAATGACTGATATGGCGAAAGTCGGTATTTGAAAAATTTTTTTTTTTTGGCCTCAATTTCGTTTTAATGAATGAATGAATGGAATCAATGTAAATGAAAACGAAAAAGTTCAAATTGTATTTGTCTGGTGGGAAGGCTGGAAGAATTGATTTTTTTTCAATTAATTAATTAATTTTTTTGCAAGATTCAGCAAAATTAAATTTGAACTAAATCTCCGAAAGAAGAATCCTTGAAGAAAAAACCTTATCCTTATTGGAAGAAAAAAAATGTCTCTACATTCTTATTTTCGATATCATCATTGGTCATGTATGATGATGATATGTTTGTTAGTAATGATAATATTACCAAACAAACATGAACGATTAATTTTAGCAAAACCTAGTAATCTACTCAAAGGTGTCATTATTCGTGTAAGTGTCATCAATTGATAAATATATGAATTAAATTGTTATCGTTTGTTTGAATTGATTTATATATAGAATTGGCCATATGCCGATCAATTCGGTCAACAATATACAGGTTTTGCTGTCGATCTACTCGATTTAATTGCCGAACGTCTTGGTTTTGAATATTGTCTGCATCAACCAAATGATGGTAAATATGGTTCAGTGAATCCGGATGGAACCGTTACTGGTATGATTGGTGAAGTTTATACAAACGTATGTCATATTTTTTTGAGTATGAAAATTATTTTTATTTATAAATCTTCATTGTAATTTGATGTGATATTAGGAAGCTGATTTTGCTACTGGTGATCTTGAAGTGACTGAATCACGACGTAAATATGTTGATTTTACCGAACCATTCATTGAGAATCAATTATCGGCAATCATACGTCGTGATCTGAATAGTGAATTATTGTCACAATCGAATCAACAAAATCGTACGAAATATATGTCGTTACAAGATTTGGTTCAAGCTAATAATGAAATTAAAACCACGGATCCACAACAGCAACAATCAAATGGACCAATAATTTTCGGTGTAGTACGTAATAGTGCCATTTTTGATTATCTTTCCCGCAGTCAAAATCCAACTGCAAGACAGATTTATGAATCAATTATGAATAATCAGGATAAATCATCATTAGTCAATACGGCCAATGAAGGTGTTGATCATGTTTATCGTAATCCACGTTATGCATTTCTTGTTGAATCAACATTTGCCGAAGATGTTATCGGACAGAATTGTAATCTAACAATGATCATGGACCGACAATCGATGTATCCTAGAAATTTTGCCATTGCTTTGGTACGAGGTTCACCATATCTTGAACGATTTAATCAAGCTATTCGTGAACTGAAAGCCCGTGGTCAAGTGGAACTTTTACGGCAAAAATATTGGACGAAATTTTGCGATAAACAAGGACAAATTCGTGATGCTGATATCGGTATTCGATTGCCTAGTCCACCAAGTTCACCACCACAATCACCGCCATGGAATGATCCATATCGTTATCAACGACCTCGATGGCCACAACCATCACCAGGTTATGAATCAAGACAATATGTCTATCCATATGGTGTGGGCGATGCTAGATACAGTCAGCAGCCAGTAACATTACAAGGTGATGGTCAACCACAATCACCATATCCACAACAGAACTACCCAGGAAGTTCATAACAACAACAACAACGAACTGATCTGAGACAATATAGAACAGAATATCCACAAGGATCATCATGGTCATCACAACAACGTCCTGATTCAAGGCAAGATCAACAACAACAACAACAATGATCATTATCAACACAGGAAACTTTGAATAAAGGAAACAAAATTACAATGATTTTTTTATGAAAATATATAATTTTCAAACAAACAAAAAACATAAATTAACGAAACATATAAATTGGCACATAACATAGACAAATTGGAACAAACAAGAAAGAAAAATGAATATTCAAAAAAAAAAAAATAATCAAATATCAATGGGCACATAATTTTTCCAATAAATTATGAGCATATTTTAGGTTATAGCTCCATAATTTTTGTATTACATTACGATGTAAATAGTAGACTTGTTGTATGAGATCAAAAAGACGAACAAAATGTGAACGTGCTAGCCATTGGGCATTCGGTTCGCCAACAAATCGATTATGGAGATAACGTTGTAATAGATGCATATTACGATAATGTTCTTGTCTATTAGTAATTGAAAAGAAAAAATTTAGATTATCTTGCAAAAAAAATGGATGAAAAATGATATTTACCTAATTTTATCAACATTTTCAAGATTATTAATTGTCGAATGATTATGATGATTGGATGGTTGAAACAAAACGATCACAAATAATAAATAGAAGATATATTTATCTTTGATCCAATAATCATCAATTGATTGGAATAATTTTTGATATAAAATTTGAAAACGTTTCTCATATTCTAATGCCATTATATAATGATGATGATGATGATGATGATGTGATTCATTGTTTTTATCATTAATCAATGATGATGAATTATCCGCTTGATTCTCAGAAATTTTAATTGTTGTTGATTTAATTATACATGATGGACGTATATTTGTCGATGATTGTGATCCATTCGATCGAACGGCATCCAGACATATTCGTTTCAATAGTGTTTTTGTTGTTTTTGCTTTGATTATTGTATCATTATCATCGTGATCATCGTTGATCATGGTTGTGGTAACATTAATATCATCATAATCGGACATTGAACATTGACGTTTTAAATTATTCAATGGTGGTGATGGTCGTTGTTGTGGTGGAGGTGATTTACGGTTCTGTATCAATAATGACCGTAAAGTCATTATAGGCATTACACTTTGTTGTAATAAACAAATCTGATCATTACTACTTTGTTCAGTGAATGGTTCAATTTGTTTGGCCAATGTTATCAACATATTAATGGTAATTTCACAGGCACGATAAAGATTTTCCCCCAATTCTTCTCTATTCATCAACTGTTGCTGTTTATGATGATCGTAGCCATTATCAATCATTTGATCATGATTAAATGATTGAAAAATACAATGATTTAGATAACCACGAAGAACTTCTTTACAACGATGTCCACCCATAATTTTATAACGTAATGGATCCAATACTTTATCCAATCGTTCCAGTTGTAAACGTTCATGATCGGTGAGTAATTTATTTGAATCATGTGGATTATAAAGATTTTCTGGAAAAAATTTCTGACATTCTGTTTTAAAGTGTTGAAAAATTTCTTTATTTTCTTCCGATATTCGATATTGTTTGAATATCTGTTCATCTTGTTTATTATTATTAGTCATTTGTTGTTGTCGTTGTTCATCATCATCAATTATTGTTTGATTATTATCATCTTTATTATCAATCGATTTGAATACATTCGATATGATTTGTCCTAACATTTCCATAAATGAACAGGATTTTTTATTAATCTGTTTTAATGGACAAGATGATGATGACGAAGTTTTTGAAATATTAAGATTATTATTATATGATTCATTTATATTATTATCGTAAAGAATCGATTTTAAATATTCATTATTATTATTATTCGATGATTTAATTGTCATTGTTTCCAATGATGATTGTTGATCTTTTTCACATTGGTTATCGATTTTCATTATCGTTGTTGTCGATGATGATTTTTGTGTTGCTTGTGGTGGTCTTGGTGGCGATGTCACATTATTATTTTCATACATATTTGATGAATTTATCAAATGAAATTTTCTATTTTTATTTTTGCATTGGTTCACATATTAAAAACGCAGTGAAATTTGATTGAAAACTATAATGGAAAATCAAATAGAAACAATAAACATTGATAAATGTGTGTGTGTGTGTGTGTGTGTGTGTGTTTATATTGATTGATATATTATTTTATAGAGAAATGAAATAAACAGAAAAAAAAATTTTTAAATGGTGAAAATTTGGCAATAATAAAAAATTTTCCATTTAAAACTTGCATTGAAAACACACAAATACAGTTAATCTTGATGATGATGATGATGATGTGAATACAAACAAACAAATAAACAAACGGCGATGAATCGATATCGATAAATCGATGTCTATAATGTGTCTGTGTGTATATGGATGGATAATATGAAAATGATGCTGCATGCAATCTATCTATCAATCGATCTCTCGAATAAAAGATACTATATTCATCAAACAAACAAACAGATGTTTATGGCAAAAAAAACGGAACAATTTTTCTGGAAAAAAAATGAATTTAACTAATTAACTATTTTATACACACACACAAATTCACAAGAAAAACTTCACATTCGAATGTCGTTAATATACATCATCATCATTGTCGTCGTCGTAGTCGTTATTGTTTATGGAAATAATATAAATGAACGTATTTCACACTAAGCTGATGATGATATAATTAATTGGATGATGATAATTGATTGAATGATAAATCTTATCGGTTGGCATGCAACTGCAACCAAAAAAAAAAAAAAAAAAAAAGAAAAAAAAGTGCAAATCTATTAAAATCAAACATTATATGTTAAAACATTTGATTGATTTATATTCAAAAATTATGATGACCCGATTTTGATTGATAGCCAAATTAATTTCACATTTCATTTTTTTTTCTATCAAATTTGTCTCTATGTACAATCTATCAATCTATCTATCCATTAATCTATGATTTACTTGTACTTGGATCTTGATTTTATTTGATCATCATCATCATCAACAAACAAACAAACAAACAAGAAACAAGAAAATGAAATCCATATATAATTTGAACATGAATAATATGCGTGTAATTTACAGAGTGGTGGTGGTGGTGGTGGTGGTGGTGTTGGTATCGTTGTTGTTTTGAATGAGGATGGAAAAAACATAAAATACAAACTGATGTATATTTTCCTTCCACTTCACAATATGAGTAATATATCATTATAAATTGGATTATCATGGATGTGCAAAAAAAAAAAAAAAATACATGTCATTGATATATTTCCAGAGAAAAAAAAATAAAAAAAAATATATGTATAATAATTGGGGCGTGTGTGTGCGTGTGAGTACATTATTGCACTTTGCATTTTTTTTTACGTACATTTGTACGATTTATTTATAATTTTTATCACACAAACACACACACATACACATCATTATCATCATCATTTTTTTTTTACTATGGAAAATAAAGAAACTGAGAAGAAAAAAAAATACGATTTTCTCTATTATATATTACGATTATAATCATATTTACTGATTGCATTTGATTATTATTATAAAGTGCAAAAAAAAAAATTTTTTTTTTTTTGTTAAGAACCAATATCATTTCATTGGATGGTGATAATGATGATGATAATAATATTTTGAATCTGATCACATTTTTTCTGGTAGTCGTTAGATTTTATGAAATAAATAACGATACGATACGATATAGCAAACAATAATTGATTTGATTTGATTTTTTTTTTACACAGCACAAATATATACATTTAAAAACTAAACAAATTTTCCGGTTAAAATAGATCATGTTGTATCCTGTGTGTGTGTGATATATACTTACGAGATCAGTGGAGGGTAATGAAATTCTTTTTATCACTGAAAAAAACACCATATACAAACATTAAACATATTTTGTAACTGATGATAATGATGTTTGATGAGATGAAACAAATCAACAACAACAATGACGATGTCGAAATACCGTTATGAATAAATGGAACCGTTTTGTATCGGTTGTTATTAATGGTGATAATGATTATGTATGCACAAGAATGCACAATAAAAAAAATATATCGACGATGATTTGATGATAATCTTTTCTATATATATGAAATAATATTAATAATAATAATATAAAAGAAAAATATTCTCCGGAAAGAAATAGAAAAAAAAATTATTTGAAAAAATTGAACTACTGAGTGCAAAAGCACCTCAATATAAAACTAATGTATGCGCGCATGCATGAATGCATGCATGCACACACTCAAAAGGTATAAGGTACAACTTTTTTTGTTGTTCACATATACGTTCAATTACAGTGCATATTTTTCTGGATGTATTGGCTGCTTGAATGTTCTTGAATGGACTATAGTGAATGAATGATAAATACCACATTCTATAGAATCAAAATCGAATGTGTACTTGGATGAGAAAAAAAAAATTTAAAAAGAAAATGACAAACAAACATATATAATAGGGAAAAAAAGGCGGAGGAGAAGGAAAAAAAATCAAAATATTTTTTTTCCATTAACATTATGTGTGTAGGTTTTTTCGATGATAGTGTGTTTGCTGAATGAAAAAGTGGTGAGAAATATTTTTGAATTGAATTGAATTCACCATTTTGGTTATTGTTTTGGTTGTTGTTAAATTTGAAATTCAAAATAAATTCTATATTCGAACAAAATTATTTTTTGATTTTGAATGAAAAATTCGATAATGATTGGTAGTGGTATTATAATTTGTTGTTATACAATCGAATCGTCATGGCCAATCAATAACCAAGGTACCACTGTATCAAACGAAAAAAAAAATCAAGTGCATTCGTTGGAATTTTTTTTTTAAATACTTAGTCGTAGTTGTTTTTTTTTCATTAAACTCAAATTGCTAACAAAAGTTTTGTAATCCATTTTTTCCAAACGAAAAAATAATTTTTAATTAACAGATTATAACGAACGAATGAGTAAAATTCCTTGAAAGCCAAATATTTTAAGAAGATTCATTGTCATACGTCAAACATACCATTTTCAATGATCAATGAAATTTTTTTTTTCAAAAGTTTCAAACAATTTGAATATAAAGAAAAATATCGACATAAATTTTTTTTTAAATGAAAAACGTTTTTCTTTTACCATTGGGTTCCTAAGATTCCTTATAATGGCCCAAAAAACAATGAATGAATGTCATAATCACAATACAGAACTTTATAATGGATCGATGATATTGAATTGCTGAAATTCTTGATTGTCATTGGTGTTTCATGAAAGCAAATCATAATGATAATAATGTATGGACAAACGATGGCAATTTTAAAAAGACAAAATGCAAAGAAAATTTTTTTTCTCTCTTTACACAATTTAAATCAATATAAAAAAAAGTGAGAAAAAAATGTTTTTTTTCAAGTTCAAGCCATTTAATCATTTGAAATTTTTCATGGTCAAATGAACGAACGAATAAAATTAACAACAACAACAACAACAACAATCATTTCCATATATATTCAATGTGTGTGTATGTGCAACGCATTGAATATTCATCTATTTTTTTCGTGAATAAAATTTCAAATCTGAAATTTGAATTGAATGAAAAAAATTTTGTCCAAAATGTAAATAAACAGAAAAAAAAATGGATAATTCATCAAAAGTATTGAGTCATAATCTTAAAAATCGTCTATATAATTTTAATGAAAATCGAATACAATCTATATTCAATAAAAAAAATTAATAATGATAAATCATCATTTATTAATTCGAATCAAAATAATGATTCTGTTGTTGATTATGATGATGATCAACGCCACTATGAATTGATTCGTCGTCCACCTGATTATATGGCAATGATGACCAATAATGATGGTTCGAATTTTAACCTTCAACAACAACAACAACGACCACCACTTTATGGTGATGAGCAACAAAATCAAATGATGATTACATTACAACCACAAGAATTGGCAATGATGAACTCGAATTATCAACAGCCATCTATGATGATTATGGATAATCATATTCAAAATGATAATAATAATCATCATTATGGATCGAAAAAGACATTAATTGGATCAGAATTATCATTGGATAAAAATGGCAGAAAAAAGAAGTCCATTTTTATTCGATTATTATGGCCAATATTTGCCATTTTCGGATTAATTACATTATTGATTAGTCAATCAATTTTACTTTCATCTGAAAGTGTTGTATTGGATGGTTTCGCTAAACAATTGGATGTAAATGATGCTAGTGCTATTTTGCCAGCATGGTAAGTCTAATTATTTAAAAAACTGGAGTATTAGTAAAATAAAATAAAAAATAGCTAACAGATTTTTGTCTGTTTGTTTGTTTATTGAAGGAAAAATATTGCCCTAGATTCGGAATATTATATGTTTGGTATTAAAAATCCTGATGAATTCCTACGTGGATCAAAACCTGAATTTGTCGAGATTGGCCCATTTAAATATCGTGAATTTCGTAGGCGTAAAATTTTGGAATATAAACAGGATAAAGTTGTATTCACTGAACGTACACATTTTCAATTCAAAGAACATGAATCTCGATCAATGATGGAAACGATCACTGTCGTGAACACTCCATTATTGGTATGGTAGAAAAAAAATGTGAAACTAATTGGAAATTTTTTTTTTTAGCTCAAAGTAATAATTTTTTTTTTTTTTTTTTCGTTTTGTTCCATCCACCATTTTTTATTCAAAGGCGATATTATATGGAGTGAAAGCAACGATTAAAAAAATGTCACTAAACTTTCTTGATCCAATCGTAAAGAATATAATGGCCAGTATTTTAGCTGCAACCGGTGAACAAATAATTGAAAGACGAACTATTTATGAATTGTTGGAAGGACGACAAATAAATTTGTTAATACTCACAGAGAAATTATCTAAACCATTGCGTTCGATTGGCCTGGCAATCCCAGATCTGGGTGAATTATCCGAAGGTTCGGGTAATAAAATCCGTAATCAAACATTTGGATTTATTTGGCAACGTGCCGATATTGATGTTGGTCCATACGAGTATTGGAGACGTACAGAAAATGGTCATATATTTAGCCATGTATATATGATTGAAGGAAGAACGTAAGTGTTTCTCTCTTTTTTGATTAAATTTTGAATTTTAATTTGACGATTTTTTTATTTTAATTATGAATATAGATTATTTCCTGAATTTCGTAGTCCATGTAATGCAATTCGTGGTTCAGATGGTATGCATTTTGGAACAAAAATTCAACGAGATATTATTGAAGTATTTAATCCGCAAACATGTCGTCCATTACGATTTTTACGTAATCAAAGTAATTCGTATGTTTCTGGTATAGAAACCATACGTTATGATCTAGATTTACATCAAATTGATATGCGTATAAAAAATAATCGTTGTTTTTGTTTACAAACATCATTGGCTAAATGTGATGGTTGGCAAGATTTATCACCATGTACAAGTGGTATACCATTAGCTATTTCATGGCCACATTTTCTTGATTGTCCAACAAGAGCTACTCAAGTATTAGGCCTAAAACCGGATCGTCAACGTCATTCATCTCATCTAAATATTGAACCAAATACTGGTCTTACGTTAGAGGCAAAAGTTAGCATACAATTAGGTATAAAAATTGATTCAACAATACCCGGTTTTAGTTCTGTTTCACATATGATTCTTCCAATTTTTTGGACAACTCAGGTAATGAAATTTTTTTTTCGTTTTGTTTAATCATTTGATCCAATTTCATTCATTGATTTTTTTTCCATTTTCTTCACGTAGTCTGGTGGTCCAAACGAAACAGAAATGATGCAATTCAAAGCATTAGTATTTCTTATACATTTTGGAAATATAATTTTCGGCACTATCGCTTTGGCCATATCGATCATGTTGTTTTTCTGTTCTTGTTATAGCTATAAACGACAACATAAAATTAAACCAATTTTGTAAATTTTTGTCTAGATTTTTTTTTTGTTTAATTTTAAATTTTTTTAAAACCAAATTTCAGAATTATGATGACTATCTGCGCATTATTCGAATTTGATTTTTTTTTTTTAAATCAACATTGAAAAAATTCCTGAAAAATTTCCCGTCCAATTAAAAATTTATTTCGGTAAATTTTCACATCGAATTTTATCGCTCATGATAACCATTGATCATATTATCATATTATCATTTCAAGTACTCATCATAGTACAATTGATTTGTTTGATTTATTTTTTTTTTGCTCTCTCTCTCAACATTTTATATATGCCATAATAATTATATATGACAATCATCATTATCGATGGTAAATATCCTCTCTCTCTTGTTTTAATGTTCTAATCATTCGTTAAAAATATTTGGGTACCTTTTTCCTCGAATATTCGATCATTTTTCAGTTATTATTGGTCTGTGAATAATATTTCATTTTGACATTGTCCAGCATTGACATTGTATCATTGAAATATCAAGAAAAATGGGTTGTTGTTGTAAAGTTACAACATTATTTCTGTTGATCGTTGCCGGTTTTAGCCTATATCAATTCTATCCATGTCTCTTCAAATGTCATGACAAGCCAAATTTTGATACTTTTAAAGTTGATGATTGGTTTGGCCGTGTTATGCTTAAAGGTTTGGTATCCTAATAATTATCGAATTATATAATTGCTGACATTTGAATTTTTCTTTACCATATGAAAAATTAGCCAATCAAAAAATTCCAAAAGATCCGGTTGATATTAAATCATTCCGTTTGAATGTTTCCGATGCCGATCTAAATGATCTTCATGATCGTCTTAAACGTTCACGTTTTATTGATCATTTACAGGATACACATTTTCAATATGGATTTAATTCCGATTATCTACGGGTTGTACAACAATATTGGCAAAATAGTTATCAATGGCGTAAACATGAGCAACAGATTAATTCATATCCACAATTCACCACACAAATCGAAGGTTTGAACATACATTTTTTCCATGTTAAACCGAAAACAACGGCTAAAGTGAAAACAATCTTTCCGATTCTATTGGTTCATGGATGGCCTGGAAGTTTTTATGAATATCTGAAATCGATACCGATGCTTACCGAACCAGATTCCAATGGTTATGCATATGAAATCATATTACCATCGATACCTGGCTATGGTTATTCTGAACAACCACATAAACCTGGATTCAATATTCCAGCTGCTGCAAGAATTTTCGTTAAACTGATGAAACGTTTAGGACATGAAAAATTCATTACACATGGTGGTGATTGGGGTTCAGCCATTTCATTGGCCATCTCGACAATCTATCCGGAAAAGTATTTTTTGTATGTTGTAAATTCAATTTCTAAATGTTTCGTTTGTATAGTGTTCGTGGCCTACATTTAGTTGGTAATTTTTTCCAACCATCAACTTTTGGTGATTTTCGACGAATGTTAATGGCATACCTGATGCCTAAATATTATTTCGGTACTGATGATTGGCAAAGGCAATGGGAGAAAACGTTTCCATTTTGTCAAAAATTTAAATCTATGCTTCTTGAAACTGGTTATATGCATATTCAGGCTACAAAACCGGATACAGTAGCTGCCGGTTTAGCTGATAGTCCAATCGGAATGGCTGCATATTTATTGGAGAAATTTTCGGCTTGGACACATGCTAACTATATGGAACTATCGGATGGTGGCCTAGTGGATAAATTCACGATGGATGAATTGTTAACAAATGTTATGATCTATTGGACAAGTGGTAATATTGCTGCATCACAACGATTTTATCTGGAAAATATGCAAAATTTCAAATTTATGCAAACCTTAACGCAGTAAGTGATTGTTATTGTTAATTTTATTAAAATTTTAATCAATTTTTTCAAACGCACAGAGCACAAGTCAAAGTTCCATCAGCAATTATTGAACCTACACATGATCTAATGAGAGCACCAAGGAAATTTATCGAGCATTTACATGAAAATCTTCTTCAATTTACCAATTCGAATGTTGGTGGACATTTTCTGGCATTTGAAGAGCCTAATATCGTTGTCAAAGATATAAGACAATTTTCAAAAAAATTACTAGAATTTGAACAACAAAAACGAAAAGAGGAAGAACAAGAACAGCAACAGAAAAAACATGATGAAGTCTAAGCGATGATTAATCCCGATGAAAATAACGTTCATATCAATGTCAATAAAATTTTTCCAAAAGTGTTATTTGATATTCAAAATTTTTAAACTTCAATAAAAATTCAATACAAAGAATCTGGTTTATATTTGTTTTTATTTTACAATAAATCTTTTAACTAGAATTTTTAATTGGCAATTAAAATTTTGCAATTTTTATCTGAATTCATTTAAGTTGCGGTTGCTGTGATGATGATGTTTGACTTGGCTGCCAGCTTTGAATTTTCGGCGGTGTTGTTGAATACGGTACATATTGATAACGTGTACCGGTCATGTTTTCTTGATGATCAATCATCCATCGATGTCGAGAATATTGTGCTTTTGTTGGTGGTATATCGGTCATATAATGTAGCCAACCATGCCATTCGGCCGGTATCTGACTTGCATCATAATCCAAATGTACACGATCAGCATATTCAATCCAACGATTTGCACCATGCATAAATTCATTATTTTCATAATAACGATTACCATATTTATCTGTACCAATTAATGTACCGATTTTAACGACATCATAACTAATTATAAAATAAAAGAATTTTTTTTAATAAAAAAAAACGAGTGAATCATATCAATAAAATTACCGATAAAGTTTTTTAATCGAATTAATCACTCCACCATTATGTTGAATGGTACGAAAAAATCGTTGCAATTTATCCAATGCTAATAATTCTTTGATCGACATTTTTTTTAATCCAGAAAAAAATAAATTTCGTTTTGGATTAGAATTTTTTTCTTTCGTTGTTGTTGTCAATTTTTTATGCTTAAAATACAGGCCAACAGTTTCACCTTCGATGAAAATATTGCCCAATTCATACATTGTTATAAAGAACGTTCCACCTATAAACAAAATTCAGGAGGTCCTTCTTATTTTTTGCTTTGTCCATTTCCCAAAGCTAAAAATATATTTAGTTTGCCTTTTAATTTCTTTGATGATGATGAAAATATTCACATTTCAACAATCAAGGACGATCACTATCGATTATGATGATTGAAATTTCATTTCAAAAACACAAGTTTTTTGCGCAATGTGAAAAATCATTTTTTAAAATAATGATTGTCTTTTTTATTTGATTTAAATTTGACTACTATCTATCTGTTTACAGTATTGATAAACGTATTAAATAATCTAACTAATAATAATGATGATTGTTAATTTAATCACCTATTTCAATATGAATTATTGGCGACCACTTTTATTGTATTTAATTACATTTGAAATGATCATTTTAAGTATTACAATATTAATCCATATGAATGCCGTCCGATGTCGTCCATTTATATGGATATATCGCTGAATTATTATAAACAACAACAACAACAATCATCGATTCAATCTATACAAAATTACTAAATTATCTAGATGAACGTTTAAACAATAATCATATAGCTATCGGAATCTATATTATACAATGTGTTCATTTTGGCAATTTTTAATTCTTTATTTTGGATATTTTTCACGTATTAATAATACATTTCAAGCATCACATGAAACTTTAATTGATGATTATCAATCAACAATGTGAAAATCGAAGGCCATCCATTTATTTATTCATTTGACGATTGAAGATGAAGAAAATCTTATTATTCAATGACAAAAAAAACCACTACAAAAATTAATCGCATCAAAAAAAAAAGAAAAATTGTGGAAAAAAAGATAATTGATGTTATATTTGATTCGAAAATGTTATCGTCATTGTCGTTTTCGGAGCATTTGAGAAAAAGAGAGAAAAATTTTATCTTTAAAAAATACATTTCCATCAACATAACTAAAAAAAAAATCGAATCAAATCTCGTTCAATCTGTTGATGTTGTATTCAATTCTGGTTACTCAATATCATTCATGATGATCGATCAAAAAAAAAGAGAAAACATAATTCATTGGAGAGAAACATTGATGTCAACATTTTCAATTTATTTACTTAATATTTTTATTCATCAATGGAAAGTTCATTTCTCTTTTTCACTCGGACTTGTGTGAATTTCATTCTACAATAAACAACGTTTCTTCAAATTTTATTGTTCGACAGTAATATCAAGATTGATGAATTTTTTCATTGTTACTTGTTTTTTGCTAAATTTTTCCTGATAGTTTTTGATAAATTGTCATAAATTCTGGTTAGCAGTAGTGTTGGTGGTGCAGAATTGGTTTGTTGATTTATTATTGATTTTTCTCATATAATCATATAAAATTTACATTTTCATTCGCAGAATTCGTAAAAATCAATTCTACTGTGGGAATTATAATGAAATCCGATATAAAAAATAAAATAACGAATGACGAAAACGAATCAATTCAAAATGTTGAAGATGAAGATGAAGATGATGATTCACTTGTTTATTGTAATGATAATGTTGGTGATCCAAAAATTTGTCTAGTGATATCATATGATGACAAAATCACCAATAATAATGATAATCAGAATGATGATGATATGATTTCAATCGGCGCAATTGAATTACAATGGCAAAATTTAACCTTTGAAATTATTAATAAATCAGTGGGAAAATTCAAAACTAATGTACCAGATAGTGGTACGGCAAATCATCAATATTATCGTGATCATCGTCGACGACGCTTATTACAATCATTGAATGGATCGATTCGTACAGGGGAAATGACCGCTTTAATTGGTCCAAGTGGTTCGGGAAAAACAACACTTTTAGAATGTATTTCCGGCCGTAATAAATTATCTCAAGGAATGATAAATGTTTGCACAACAACAACAATCGTTAATAAAAAATTAACGGAATCAATTCGTTTGGCATATCTATCACATTCGGATACAATGATGATGATATTAACCGTCCAGGAAACCTTATTGTTTGCATCGAAATTGATGACCAGCCATGATGATTGTAAACAATTTGAAGCAAAACAAATAACGAATAATTTAATTACGAAATTAGGACTAGAGTCTTGTAAAAATATCTATGTTGGTCGATGTTCAAATGGCCAACAAAAACGTCTTAGTATTGCATTGGAATTATTATTTTCACCAACAATACTGTTGTTGGATGAACCAACCAGTGGCCTGGATTCGGTTGCATGTTTTCAAACCATACGGTTATTGCGTGAATTAGCCGATGATCATCAACAACCAATCGCTATCATGTTGTCCATACATCAACCGACAGCATCAATGTTGAAATATTTTGATAATCTTTATGTAATGGCTATGGATGGTCATTGTTTATATCGTGGTCCAAGCAATCAAATGGTTGATTATTTAGCCGCAAACAATTTACAATGTCCTACATATCATAATCCAGCGGATTTTATTGTTGAAATTGGCGTTGGAAATCTATGTGATATGAATACTGTTGAACGATTAATAATGGCTGCAAAAGCTCAACAACAACCACAAGAATCAATGGTGGGTGGTAAAATGATTCCAATCAAAAAAATTATACAACAATCACGTTCAATAACAAATGAATTCAACATACGGCAATCAATGCAGCAATTTTTTCAACTATGGTTACGTTCGGTAATGTTACAATATCGTAATCCATCAGAAATACTTACCCGTGTATTCGGTACCGGAATCGTCATATTTATCATATGGTTAATTTACAAAGATATGCGATTAGGTGAAAATGATAGCTGTTATCGTCCGCTTATACGTAATATGATACGTGATCGATTGGAAAATAATAAAACATCTATATCGAACGATTTTGAATGGTCAAAACAAATGTTGGAGGAAAGCCATAATCAATTTAATTATGCATTCTTATTTTTCATTGAAATGTTCATTGCATTCATTTCAACATTACCTGTATTGCTCACATTTCCAATGGAAATCATTGTTATACGACGTGAATTATCACATGGTTGGTATCGATTACCAATTTATTTTCTAGCTAAAAATATGGTTACCATTCTACCATCATTGATCATTTCAATTTCATTCGCAACAACAATCTATTTTATTACCGATCAACCATTGGATCAACATTGGCGTTTCATATATTTTAACATCATTCTGATGTTAATGGCCTTGGTTGGTGGTGGTGTCGGTCAATTAATATCTGCATTGTTTGTTAAACAAGCAAATCAAGCATTAATATTTGCTGCATTATCACAGATGGGATTGATACTGTTTTCTGGTTTATTCGTACCGAATTCATCGTTACCTGTACCATTAAAACATATGACTTATGTTTCACAATATAGACTTGGTTTTGAATCATTAATAATTAGCATTTATGGCTATGATCGTTGCCGTATTTTCAATGATCTCGATGATGATTATCAATTTTTAACAAACGATGCATTATTAATACGATTATTTAGACATCAATTTCCAAACAACGATACAATGCTGACCATTAAAAAATGTTTACGAAATCAAATGCATGATGATGAACAGGAAACATTTTATTCAATTTATAATGAAATATTCGATTCATTCGATATGATCGCGGGTAAGTCGGAAACATTTTCCATTGCAATCCGTGCATTCAATATTGTTGATGAACAACTTTATTTCAATATAAAAATGTTAATATTCTATGCAATTATATATCGTATATTAGCTTATATTGTATTATATCGAAAAGTTCGATTCTAAAATTGAAAATCAATCAAAATTGATCAATAAATTAAATGAATCAATTTGTTTGTCTGAAAAATAAATAAATAATTATTTTGTGAAAAAAAATTGACACTAATTGTTATGACCGACCTTGTATGTCGTTCGAATCATATAATAACTATATAGGTATTGACGACTGGAACTTGAAAATCGAAAATCGATCAATATACCATCATCATCATGATGGTGATTCACATTTTATATTTCCAATACCAGTGCAACAGACATTCGTTTATTGTAATGAATTCAATCATATGTATGTATTTCTTAATTTTAAAGAATTGAATTTGTTTTTTTAATTCTCAAAATTTTTTTACATCATTTAGAATGTTGTATCATCATGATGCTAATGTTATGGTATGACGAAGATGATAATAATTCAAGTCAAATGAAACAAATTCGTCATGTACATTCATTTTCAATGAATAATCTACGTGATATATTTAAATTATATTCATTACATTCATTGTCGCCATCATCATTGTCTATGAGTGAGTAATCATTCAAGATTTTTATGTATCCAAATGTCATAAAATACAAAATACAGATCAGAAATTTGACGGATTTGTTGTTTTGATGATGATGAAAAAAAGAATCAACTAATTGGATTGGATTAACTTATCTAACCTAATGTATGTGGATTGAGCAACAAATCTTTTGGTGGCCGATTAACATGTTGTGATGATTTCGATAATGATAATGATGATGATCTACATTAATCAATTGTAAAGAATCAAAGGTCGTCCCAGGTGGTATGATTATGTGATTCATTCTTTTCCTATAATGATATGGAAAAAGGATTATTTTTCACGTGTTTTTATGTGATTTTCAGTTCATTTGTTGGGCAAGTGCTTTTTTCGATAGCAACATTGGAATACTGATCTTGTGTTTTTGGAGAACATTTTGATTCAACCATCATTAGGTATAAATATGGATCAACCAATCGATGATTGTCATCACTCTAGATCAAACAGTCAAACAAACAACCATCAGCAAACAAGCAAATTGAATTCATCAGTTTTGAAAAGTAAAAAATCTAAATCCAATCATCATTATGAAATTATTCATCTGTTTGGCATTGTTTCCATTATTGATGGTGGCAGCAATCGATGTCGAACCACAACAACAACTAGAAGAAGAATTGATCAATATATTTGAATCTGATGAACAACAACAAAATGAAGAAGCAGAGAAAAACGAAATTGATACCGATCGTCGTCCAGTATTCCGTTGTCCACGACGATTTGGTTATTATCCGGCACGAAGATGTTATCAATTTATTCAATGTTCAAATTATCGCCCGTATACAATGAATTGTGCACGTGGTACACAATGGGATCAACGTCAACTAACCTGTGTCCATCAAACCGATTGTCGTCGACCACGAAACTTGGATGAGAAAGATACCGATGATGAAAATAATGAACGTCGTCCACCAAAACAATTCCGTTGTCCAAGACGATCTGGTTATTATCGTGCCCGTAACTGTTATCAATTTATTCAATGTTCAAACGGCCGTCCATATGTAATGGATTGTGCACCAGGTACACAATGGAATCAACGTAAACAGACCTGTGTACATGCAACCAATTGTAAACGACCACAATCAAATGATGAAGTGGATGAAATTGAACGTCGTCCAGCTCAATTCAAATGCCCAAAACCGTCCGGTTATTATCGTTATCGGGATTGTAATCGCTTTATTCAATGTTCAAATGGCCGACCATATGTAATGGATTGTGCACCAGGTACCCAATGGAATCAACGAATGCAAACATGTGTTATGCTTCGTGATTGTCGTCCACGAATGGCAGAAGAATCGGATGTTTCAGATGAACAACAAGAAGAATAAATCTTGGTACGACATTTCATTCGAAAATATTTAAAATAATTAATCAATTATTATTTCTTAATTCTCGCGAGTTAATTTAAAAAAAAAATTTAAGTTCATGACAGAAAAAATCGAATAAAAATAAAAATTTGAAATTTCAAAAACAAAACAATTACTTTGTTTGGTTAGCCATGGATAGATGGCGATATTTGACCAACTCGTTATCGTTAATTATTTGATGCAATTCTTCACATTCAAACATCTGTATTCGTGTTATTTTTGTGCTGAATGTGGATTCTAAATGATGTTCCAATGAATCTGGTTTTACTCCCTCTCTTTTGAACTCGAGTAATGAAATCCTAACAACAACAACAACAACAACAATAAGAATTCTGAAATGACTACAAATCGTCAGCTATAACGGTCTAAAAGTTTTAGCAATTTTCGTTTTCATTCTCCTGTTACTCCCACACAATCACTCAATTGCTATAAAAATTGGCATTCAATTATAATTGTTGTCGATTGTGCTCGTAACCGGAATTTTCGATAAATTTTATTTCATTATCCAAAGAAGAATAAGAATAAGAAAGTCAATCGTCAAATACATTCTAACTGATTGCATCTATATATGGCCAATTAACATTATCATTTATCGAATTCGTTATTGGTATTCTTTGCTTACATCATGCTCTGTTCTGATTCATGTATTGTGTCTGTTTTTGTGTGTGATATTTGTTTGAATAAAACTTTTTTTCAAGTCATCATCATCATTGATTCGATTTTGGTGATAATAATTTGTCCGAATATGAATGGCTACATTTCTGTATTCCAAAAAAAAGAGGATATTTTCACTTATGGTTTCGGAATTCGAGTTTGATCGATAAAAACAAAAAATAGAATAATTTAAATAAAGTTTGTGTTTAATATCTTAGTGTGACAAGTGTGAACGAAATGAAAACGATGATCCAGATCAATTCATTCCCACACACACACACACACCATCCATTTGCCTATTACACGAGGAAATATCAGTCAATCTGGAATCGTCATCAATGATTATAATGTTATTATTGGCTACAATTTTCACAATCACAACTTTGACAATGAGCCAGTAGAGAAAAGAATAATTGTGAATAAGATTAAGACAAAAATTTTTCTCCCGAATTCTTCCGAACAACAAGAAGAAAAACTTTTTAAAAACGATACACACACACACACACAAACACATGGTGATGATGATGAGATTTATTGTCATCATTGCTACCATTATAGCAACAAAAATATTTCAGCTTTTATTTTTTGTATGAAATTTTCGTTGTCATCGTGATAATAATGGTTGTATAACATATACACATTCGAAAATCAACGATAAATTTAATGATGATTCCATTCTTGAGAATTGTTTTATTTTTTTCAGATTATTTACATCGATGAAAGTAAATTTGTATGATATTCGGATACAAGTTTTTAGATGCGAAAATTTATTATTATTTGAAACTTAAATGTTTATCGAACACATTTTACTACTGTTTTTTTTTCTTTCTTTCTTTTCGTTTTTCCCTAATATTCCTGAATCAGAATTGTTGATGATGAAAACTTTGCCATTTTATTATTGTGAATTCAATGTTGAATACACATAGTAAAACACATTTTACATGTCATAATTTTTAATTATCATCAATAAAATTAAACGATTATTATGGTTCGTCATTGTTGTTGTCGTTGTTGTGAAAGAATATGTTAATGTCGATGTTTTCAATGTTGTTGTTGTTGTTATTGTTTTTTTTTGGCAATCAGAATTTCTCTGTTTTAATAAATGATAAAGTTGATGAAATTTGAGCGTATAAAGAATAATGGCAATGGATATTTTGTTTAATTTTTTTTCTATTTTCTCTGAATCCAGTTAATTTCTTTTTTTTGTCTATTTTTAAAATTGAAATTTTGTTTTTGACGGAAGACAATTATGAACGAGCAAAGGACATCTTGAAGGAACGGTATCAAGACAAACGAAGGATTTCGGATATCATTATTAATAGAATCAAAATGTTACCTACGATAAACGTGAATGATCTCGACGGGATGCAAAAAATCGTCGATGAAATGGCTTGCCTACACCGAGAAGCAGTTGACCACGGGTTGGATTCGTATGTCATCGAAGAAGTGATACGCCCGACGATATTGTCGAAATGGTATTCGCCAGAGGCAGCCAGACATGGGTCAACATGCTCTGGACTCATTGAATTCTTGGTCCAAGATGTAAAAATTTATATGAGAAATCGGGACATAATGACAACAAACCAAGTTAATGTGTCGACTCGTGCCAACTGTGTCTTCTGTCGACGAAATCACAAGTCCATTTACTGCAACGACAATATGACAAACAAAGATCGAAAAGATATTGCAGTGAGAAAGAAACTTTGTTTCGTTTGCCTTCAAGGAAATCATCAAAGCGATCAATGTAAATCAAATTATTCGTGCAAAAAATGTGGAAGACGTCATTCATTGGTTATTTGTACCGACAGCACCACCAAATCTGCAGAAAACGTCGTTGCTCAGACCATTCCAAAAAAACGTGCTTGGCGACCCAACGGCTTGATTTATTTTAATTGTCTTGTAAACAACAAACCAATCAGAGCGTTTATTGATACGGGAGCCGAAATAACCTGTATTTCTAAAAACTTGTTTGATCAATTAAAATTACAAATAATTAAAAATTCAATCATTAATATCCGTCAACTTGATAATTTGACACAGTCATTGGGTCGCGTAAAAATCAATCTACAGATCGGGAGAATCACTCGATGTGTCGAAGCTCACGTGGTTAGAAATTTGACTACTAATCTCTTGTTAGGTCTCGACAATAGCCAACTCTTCGATCTCAGCCTTGATTTAAATGATAATTGCTTAAAACAATGTGATAAAATTGTCAACAATGTGCAACATTCGTCAAATCAACAAGAATATCATATTAATCAAAATTTGAACGAAAATCAACGTCACTGTATTCGTGAAATGATCAACCAGTACGGCGATGTATTTGCTCAATCGAAAAGTGATGTTGGATACATCAATCACCAACATCATAGAATAGACCTCTCCAACGAAATGCCGATATTCTTGAAACCGTATCGAACGTCGCCGAGAGAACAAAAAATCATAGATGAGACGGTCCACAACTTGTTGCAGCAAAAGTTGGTCAGGCCTTCTACATCGCCTTATTCTTTTCCGGTGACATTGGCCGAAAAGAAAGGAGAAGGAAAAACAAGAATGTGCATCGATTATCGGAAGTTAAATGACGTCACCATAACCGACAAACAACCGATCCCGATAATTGATGATATCATTGATAAATTGCATGGGAAAAAATATTTCACAAAATTCGATATTGCAAATGGTTACTGGCACGTACCCATTGCACCTGAAGATATCCCAAAAACGGCCTTCTCCACACATAATCAACATTTGGAATGGCTGGTTATGCCATTTGGCCTCAAAAATGCCCCGGCCACGTTTCAAAGAGCAATTAGGGGTGTCATCATGAAACATCAATTGAAGAATGTAGAAAATTATTTCGACGATATCATAGTGTTCAGTGATGATTTTGAACAACACCTTGATGATATCAAAAAAGTACTGGAAGCATGTCAACGAGAAAATATTAAATTGAAACCCAGTAAATGTCATTTTGCTGAGGAGAAAATCGAATATCTTGGCCACTGTATATCATTCAATTCAGTCCAACCAAATAAAGACAACATTCGATCAATCGAAAATTTTCCAGTTCCGTGTGACATTAAAGAACTACAACGATTCTTAGGAATGGAAAATGTTTATCAAAAGTACATTCCAAATCATGCCTTATTAAGGAAACCACTAACCGATTTATTGGTCAAAGATTGCCCTTGGGTGTGGTCGACCGATTGCCAGAAGGCTTTCCATGAAATCAAAAGTTGTTTAACAAAACATCCCATTCTAAATATTTTCAATCCGAATTTGCCAACAATCATCTACTGTGACGCAAGTCAAGCTGGTATTGGGGCTGTTTTGAAACAAAAGCATCCGGATGGTGAAGAATTACCGATAGCCTATTATTCAAGAAAATTGTTGAAACATGAAATCAATTACACGATCACCGAATTAGAATGTTTATCGATAGTAGAGTCTCTCAAGAAATGGCACTGCTACGTCGATGGTAATCCGACCACGGTGGTCACCGACCACGCAGCTTTACAATGGCTTAAATCATGTAAACGTCTGAATGGTAGATTATTTAGATGGTCGCTACGCATCTCAATGTACGATTTAATCATCAAGTACAAGAAAGGTTCTACGAATTATGAAGCCGATGCATTATCGCGTGCACCGGTCAATTTCGTTAAGGTCAATTTGCTTACAAAGGAAGAATTGGAACAAGAACAACAGAATATGTCTGATGTTAATAAATTTGAAATGGTTGATGGATTTTCTTTCGTAATTTTTTCCATTGCTGTCCATGTACCTACAATACGATCGGCTGGTCGCATTGGAAAATAATGTAGATCCTGGTGTAATGGATGTCGAGAAGATTTTGTACCCAAATCTGGTGGTTTATTGATTAACATTGAATGAATGGCTAGAATATTTGGACTACCAACAAATGCTTCAACAATATCCAATACTGATGGATGACAACAATATTCGAATAGGACATCATCAGCATAAAGTTCTTGCACTTTATAAAGACTTCTTTCATGTATGGCTTGTTTAGCCGTTGCTAATTCTCGTTGCAATAATAATAATGGATTCGGTTGAACTTTACCAGTGGCTAGATCTTGAAATCGTTGCCTTTTTTCAAATATAAAAATGAATATGTTGTGTTTTGAAACCCAAAAAAATTGTCAAAAAAACTTACCAATAACGATCGATATCTTGATCGGTTAACAATTTTTTGACGAGAATATAACCATTTTCTTCATAAAAATCACGTTGTTCATTGGTTATTTTTCCATTCGCACCGTTTGTAAATGAAAAACGATATTTTTCATTACTATTAGCCATTGATTTTGCTGTGGATAGAAATTTTCGTTGATTCAATGATTGTATCATTGTCATTTTCAACAATGTCGATGATGTTGATGGACATTGTTGTTGAATTAAACGAAAACCAAAAAACGTCAAAGGTAAACGATTCATAAGCATTATTGTTTTTTCAAGTTTTTTCTTTTTTAATAATGTAATCAAATAAACAAATATATTGTGGTGACGTTACATACGTAGAGAATATATCATCCAACGAGTCCATGAAACAATGATCATTGATCATTTCAAAAATAATGAGTTTTTGTAGTGATTGAACACAGTTTTGAATGCTAGAGAAACTCGAGTTTTTTGGTTTGTTTTTGTTGTTTTTATTTTGAGTGATTTCAATAAAAAATACAGGGTACATATGTTACGTTCTTTTCACAGATTCATTCATTCAAATATGGATTGCCAAGTTATGATGATGCAAGTGATTGAGGATTTTTCAACTTTGAAGCTAGATGTGTTTCTTAGTACAGAGTGCACACAGCTTTTTTTCCAACTCATCCGATTTTTTTATCATGGGATTGATAGACAATCATTATGATGATTATCAACGGCAGCAGCCATTTAGCACACTTTGGTTTCGTTCACTGATTGATGATGGTAGCCAATTGGAGATGGCTTACAGATTACAATTGAACAATTTGTTTTTTTATGTCAAAGTCGAAAATTGATAATTGCATCGCATCGAACATGCGATGAAAATATTCATTTTATATTATTCTTTACTTTATTCATTGATGGCTGACTTTTACGTTGTTTTTTTTTTTCGTTTAAAATGCCGTTTTTTCATACTTAATGAAAATTTTGTCCAATAATTCATTAATGGTCGTTGTTCCTATTCGATTTCGAGGTTTATGATCTCTCTCTCTCTCTCTCTCTCTCTCTCTCTCTCTCTCTCTCTCTCTCTCTCTCTCTCTCTCTCTATATATATATATATATATATATGTGTGTATGTTTTCGGTGGAAATTTTGTTGTTGTTTTTTAATGATAAAAATTTCATTTCATTTTTTTGCCAGATTTTATAGTCGAAACAAAAAAAAAACAGGAAATAAACAGAAAATACATAAAACAATCATTTTTTAAGAACCCATTATTTGTTATCACTAGATATTGTTATTGACGTATATATTTATATAATCACATGGTTCATCGTTTTTGTAATTTCTTTTCTTGATAAATTTTCAATTTTTTTGTTGTTCATATATGAACAATCGATCCATTATAATGATGATGATGATGATGATGATAATCGAAAATGTTTTCGACAATTTTTTAATTTCTATTTTATTTACTTTTTTAAAAATATTTTTTCAATGATCAATTACATTATTTATCATCAATATATGTCGATCATGTATATAAGGGTGTTTGTCTAAAGAACAAGAACAAGAATAGATATGGTAAATTATTCAGTCACAAGGCAATGAAAAAACATCACGGTTGCCTTTCTGTTAGTAGTTGGAAAATTTCGAATGATAAAAAATTAAAAAAAAATTATATAAAAAAATGATATAAAAATATTCAACTAGTCGAAAGATGATCAATCAATCAATTATGAACCAATCATTCGAAAACGACGACAAAGACATAGAATGAATATGGCGAATGTAAATATCATAATCCATTCAAATGTTGTGGCAGTTACATGTACATAATAGGATTCTTTATCCGTTTGTGGCCAATGCATACGAAATTGATTATTATTTTCAAATTTTTCATTACCAACCTGGTAACGATTTATACTTTCAAATATTAAAACCATTACCATTGATATTGATGTTATAATTGCACAAAACATCATTGTAATTGGTTGTGATTCAATACCATATTCTCTATACAATATTCGGGCTAAATGTGTACTATAACATGCATAAATACATGCACTTATAAAAACTGTTAAAGCATTGACCACATGTAATGGATAAAATTCAGTCGTACGAATATTTCCCACACCAATAGCACCTATTCCTGAAATGATCATCAACCAAAATGAATGTCTATTCATACGATGTAAACGATTGAGGTAATCAAGATTTTTTCCAATAAAATTATTATTCAAATAGAATTTTATCTGTTTATAACGTATCCAGCATGTAATGAATACTAATTTAAATGAAAAAGAAATTTTTTTTTTTTAATGACACAATCATAACCAGAAATTATTAATTAACACTTACTTAAAATGGCAATAAAATCGATAATTTGTGAGAATACCATTGAACCCGGTGATAAACCACCAGTATCACTTACATATGGTAATAATGGATCAACAGTACCATAATGGATTGACATAATATACGGTATAATACAGAGTATAATCAATAATGTGCTAAGAATTAATGGAAAAATCCATAAATGCCGTTTAATCCATGCATAGAATTGTCGATGTCGTTTTAGATGTTGTTTTTGTTGTTGTTGTTGTTGTTCTTGTCCAATCGATTGAATTGTCTTCTGGTCACTTTCATCATTATTAATTTGAGGTTTTTCTTCATCAACATTGATGACATTATTATTGGCGATTATTAAATTATTATTAAGGTTTTTTTCAATGTCCATTCTTTTTGTTTTGTTTTGTTTTTTTGACCACTTGTTGATTGATTTTAATAGAAACGTTGAATAAAATTTTAATCGACAAATACTTAGATGTTAAGTTTGTCTTTTTACAATGTGTGAACGATGATGATTATTGTCGATAGAACAAATCAATCGAATGGATCAATAAATGATGATATCAATTTCTATCTTCTATATATTTGAACACATATACAATTTCAAACACGATGATGAAGAAGTGAAAGCCATTCAAGTTTTAATTTTCATGCCTTTTTTAAACATATCGATTGATCGATCAGTTGATTGATTGATATCGATATTTTCGCACCAATTTTTTTTTTCTTTATTAATCTTACACATACACATCCAAATAAATAAATCTAACACAAACAAACAAAATCGATTGTGCGTGATATGTGTGTCAAACTTAGTGATGATGTACAAAAAAAAAAAAAAATCAATCAATCGGTTTTTTTGTTTTTCATTGATGATGATAATTTGATTCTGAAGACATGAAATGAAAAAAAAGTAGACAAAAAAAATGATGATTAGTTATTGTTGAAATTAGTGATTTATCAATATATAATTCGACGATTACCCAGTTTTTTTAACCAAAAAAAAAACTTCAGAAAAACATTACTTTTTTGGGTTCAAATGAATCCAAGTAAAAAAAAAATTCAAGTTGAATGAGAGAATCAAATGCAAACAAAATATTTTCTTTTCTTTTTTTTTCTTATTTCAAAATTTACAAATGACAACAATAACAACGGAGAAAATTGCTTACATTTGTTTTTGTTGTTGTTGTTGTTGTTGTATATTCATTTTTTCGTCTTTGTCAATGTTTTTTTTTTATTTGCAATAAATATTTTTTGCATTCATTTAATTTCTGTTTACGGCATAGATAATCATTTCCTTTTCTCATGGACATATGATGATCATACAAACACACAAACATATACAAAATACACATAACGTACATTATAAGCGATGATGGTGATGATTGTGAATTTTGGCTGAATACAAACATACCCACACACACACACAAGCAACAAGTGGAAAAATAAAAATTGTACAGCTGTAATTGTTTTTGATGTAAATGAAAATCAATATATGACAAATTGTCTAATGAAAGAAAATAATATTATCACATATATCAAACAGGCTGCAAAATATATGAATGATGATGATGATGATGATGATGATGATGCTTTGTGCATTATTGAACAAAAAAAAATAAACGCCAGACAAAATGATTTAAATTTGGAAAAATTTGATTTCAATTTTGAATTAATCAAAATGATTATCATTTCTTTAAATAATCACAATGATAATGTCTTCATCGTCTTCGAATGGTAGAATTGAAAGCAAATTTCATGATCATGTGATCAAAAATGAACGTAATCACATTACATTCTTATCATCATCAGCATCTTTCACAATATATTTTGGTTGTATCAAGTTTTTATGATTTGATCTTGAGTTGATCGAGATTCATTGAAGATGTTGTCAAAATCAGTGGATTCATTTTAATCGATTTCTTTTTTTTTTTTAAGTAACATGATTTATTTACAATGTATGTGAAAAATTTAAATGAAATGAGAAAAAAATCTAGAATCTAAATAAATGAATAGGTTTGACTATGATGTTGGGTACATTCGATTGAATCATATCCGATTCGATCGTCACAAAATGGTTGCTGACAAATCTTTACACACACACACACACACACACACACACACACAAACACATATACCTGTGTTTAGATGTCATTTTTTTTCTCTTTCTCACTTTTTCCTTTTCTCTATCCCTTCGCATTTTGGTAACCTTGATAAACATTTACATTTCAAGTTTTTTTTTCTATTAGTTGTAATAATAAGAAACAATTTACATTAATTCATTCATTCAATCACAAGTTTTCAATTTCCTTTTTTTCAATTTTCACATGTCTATGACAAATAATTATTTTCAGAGACAGTTCCAGCAAACAAACAAACAAAAAAATAGTCAAATTCATCATTCAATAACTAATTTAATCTAAATAGACAGTCAACAATAATTTCATTGAATGATATAATCATGATTATGATGATGAAATTTGTATGAAATTTTTATTTTTACCAATAAATATTGATTACGAAAAAAAATGACAAACAAAAAAAACAAGTTTTCCTATTATTATTCGACTTTTTTTTTGTCATTAATCTTATTGTATTACATAATCTTAATTCAAAATTGTCATGTGTAAATGCTATTTGGTTAATTAATTAATTGATTGATTGATTTTTTTTCCTTTGTATAAATCAACTGACTACTCGATGCTGTCTTATTATTCAATTTTTTTGTTTTGTTTTGTTTTGTTTATGAATTGAAGTAATATTTTGCATAAAATATTCATTGAAAAAAACTTACAAAACAATATGTAATGGTCATTTCTTTTTTTACGTTTACATTGTAGATGCATTATCCATTATTCAATCGAACACAATCTATCTGACATATAATCCTTGATGGTGATGATTCTATCATTTTTGTTATTGAAATTTTTCCAAATTCTTTAGTGAAACAGTAGTAGCTTAAATTTTTCTATTTTTTGTTTTTTTTTTTTTTTTTGATATTCGAAGATACTCGAAACACAAATAAAAATAGGAGTACGAGCCATTTTTACTCGAACATTCTAAAGTGTAAAGTTTCAAAAAGCCTCAAGTTTTTTTTTGTTGTCGTTTTGTTACAAAAGCTTTATCATTTTTGGTTCGATTCTTTTTTATGGTCATTTTTTTCGGTCGATTTTTTAGACAAAACAATGAAATATTAAAGTTTGTTTTCGTGTTGATCAATCAAAACTAAAAAAAAAATGGTTTAAAATTCCGTTTTGTTGATGTTTTTCTTGGGTCGAATTTCATTGAATCAAGTTTTTTTTAAAGAAATTTTGTTTTTCAAAAATAAGAATTCATTTATATCATTTCTACGAAAATAAGTCTATTTAATTGAGTCGACTCCATTGTGTTGAAAAACAAAATTTCCAATGAAAAAAAAATTACACCACTAGCATTTCGATTCTTGGAATTCTTGTGTATGTGTGTTTGGTGTATTATGAAAATGATGAAAAATAACCCGCTACGGTTTACGCATTACGAGAATAATGCTGCTACCATTATTGTGCGATTCTGATCAGACTAGAGAAAAACATTTGGTTCAAACACAGAATCAGACAAATGTAGATCCAGATTCATAGACATATGTACATTCACTTATAATCTTATCAACAAAGCGACGGCGGAATTTTTTTTTTTTTTTTGATTTGAATTTGACATCCCCATAACCACCAGCCATCATCATCATTATCATTATTATGCGAATAATAATTTTGTGAAAAAGACTATCGATTCTTTAAGATTTTTTTTAAATTTTTCTAAAGTTTTTTTTTCATTTTAAATTATTTCTTTTGGTTTGCACATAGTGTATGATGTTTGTGAATTGCAAAATTATTTATCCGTGTGTGTGTGTGTTTTGTTTTTGTTTATTGTGATGGTTAATGATTTTGTAACAACGAAAAAAAACATCGCTGTCATACAATCATTCATTATTTATTTATTAATTAAAATTGAAATTGAAATTTCTTGTCACAAATATAAGGTAAGGTGGATTTTCGATTCCAATATTTTACTTTTATTTTCGATTTTAAGTGAAAAAATATGACTTTCAAAACCATAAACTCAATATTGGTAATTTTCGCCGTCGTTTACCGTCGAAATTCAATTGATAGAGTAGAAAAAGTTCATAATGATGACTTTCATTTCCGGCTATTTGATGAATATTTTTTTGTTCCGCTTCTGTTCCATTTTATTTGTCATCATCATTATATTATGTTGGTCATCCAGATCTAATAAGTTTGATTCGTTATTTATAATTATTATTATGTTCTATTTTTGTTTGTGTATAGTTAGGCTAGCTGGCTAGAATCATCATCATTTGTATTACAAAAAAAATAGAAGATCTTATCCCCATAAAAAAAACTAAATGACACACAGAAATAAATAAATAAATAACGAGAATAGCCTCGAGTAAAATTTAGTTGTTGTTTTTTTCTTATAGTTTATTTTTTTTTCCTAAAGAAAATTCATTTTTTCTTCGATTATTACCGAAAACAATTCTGTTTGGTTTTTTCATTATTGTGTGGTTTGGTGGGTGAAATCAACAAAAAAAAAAAAAAATTTCTTCCACCCACACACAAATTGTCATTGATGTTTTTTTTTCACTTTCTTTCTCCGTATATTCTACGAGAACGTATGTCATTGAGTTATTTCTCCCGTTTGGTCGTTGGATCATCATCATTATCCAGAAGCCCGAGGATGTTGGATTTCATTTCATTCATAATTTATTCATTGATTGGAAAAGAAATAACAATTGTTACAATATGAGAAAGAAAAAATACAACATTCATTATTGTCACCCTATACACAGAATTGATCAAAATTAATTCAAGAATTTCAAATTTTCTTTTTTTTTCTTGGGTTATTCTGAATTAAAATCTTTGACATTTGTACTGCATCAATAAGAAAAAAATTCTTCACTCCTTTCAAATAGATAGAATTCCATGAATTCAATTAGAATTTCAAATGAAGATTTGTATTAAAATTGATTCATTGATGATGATGATGATGATGATAATTATCATGGTGAAATCCTAATACAAAATTCGCTGATGATGATAAGCTGAGCGTAGAGAAAATCACTATTTTTTGAATAATAATTTATGAATTCTAATTTCTTATTTCATCAAATAGTGAAGAAAAAGGAAAAAAATTTTGAAAAAATTAAATTTCAACCCGAATAGATAGCATATTTGTATGATCCATAGTCATAGTTAATTTTTTTATGGCCAATCTTTCAAAGTTTTTTAAACTTATTAAAAATGGAAATTT